GAAGAGCAAGTTCTAAAACGCCGGCGGGTTTTTAGTTCTTTGTTATTCATTTAAAGGAGACAGTTATAGATAGAGAGAGAGGAGATTGCTCTTTGTTCTTTAACACAATGGTTTTGTTCGGGTCCGAATCTATTTTTGTAACTTTGTGGAGTGAGTGTCCATGTTTTGCTTTCTTTTTAGTTTGTTCAATTTTCTGTCCGTACAACACAGGGAAGTGTTGGCTTCAGGTTCCAGACATTATTCTTGTGAACTGTTCGGTCTAAGTCCCGGTTAATGTTATTAACTTTCAGGGTTTACGGTTTTAGGGATGCTTCGGTACAATCTAGTTTAAACCGGTTTACAATTTTTGTTTTTCGAAGACAGGTAGTTATGTGAATTTATCTATTTTATAGATATACAGTTTATGTAAACTAGTATTTAAAAAAATAAAATTCCATGTACATATTAAATTATGTTAGTTACGTCAACTTAATATATGAATATATATCTTATAAATATATAGAATTTAGAAATTAGTATATAAAAAGGAAAAAAACTCTGCGTAAGATTTTTTTTAAAAAAAAATAGAGAAATTTGGTAAAAAAACCATTTCAAATTTTAATTAAACAAATAATGTAAAGGTATCCTTATTTTTATCAAAATTTTAAACCATTGTTTTTAGCGACGATTCCAATGATAAAAAAAATTAAATTTATCCCTTATTTTGCCGTTTTTAGTAATTTGCTAGGTGAGATCTATGCCCATCTTCGATTATTATTATTTTATTGTGCAATTTTTGAACAAAAGAGAGAAGATATTATAATAATATATATTATAAGGATATTATGAAAACAGATAATTATTAATAATAGCATATATATATATATATATTTAAATGATACATTTTATTAAAAATAATTGTACTTAAAAACTTCTCATTTAATTTATAATAATTTATTTTACTCATTTTTCTTCTCATTTAATTTTATAAAACAAAAACGTATAAATAAATTGAAAACCAATAAAAATTAAAATTTAGATATTTTAATTTGATAGATTAGAAGCAATCCCACTTAATACAAACAACTTTTAAATAATACATATATTATAAAGGGATTATAAAAATAGATAATTATTAATTAATAATATATATATATATATATATATATATGAAAAACCTAATTTGATTAGTTCAACCGGTGAAATAGGGACGCAAAACATTTGTCACGCCCCGAATTTGAGTTTGAAGTTGGAAAGAAAAATATATAATCCAAAAAATACATGGTTTACTCCCGATTTCGAGATTAGTAAAGGCTTCGATTCAGAATACCTGGTTACCAAAAAAACATATATATGAAAAATCATGTCGTTTTATTAATATTTCTCTCATTTGATTTTATAATAATTTTTTATAACCAATTAATATTTAAAAATTGAGATACATGATGTGATTAGGTAAGTTTATCACAATTTTTCAAACCCAATTATTTATATATAAGATTTTACCTGAAACAATGTTAATGATTGTGAAAGGCGGCATCTGGACATACTTTTGCCTTTTGGACCGAAGATAGATACCATACGGTCGTGGTACAATCAAACATCACATAAATAAAATAGAGTTTATTTGGAAATAAAGATAATTGATTTTGATAGACGTTCGCATTAATTAATGTGGTCACAGTGGCCGATGACAGATCAAAACATGGCCACGTCCACTTGCATGATGAGTGAGTGAGTCCATGCCCAAAGAGCTCATATATTACAATCGCAATTAATTCTTTAGACACATTCACCTTATATATATATATATATATGTATATATGTATATGTATATCTTATCTTTGTTATTAATCAATCCGACAACTGGTTGTAAATTTATTTTAAAATGAAAAATTCCATAAAAATATATAATTTTATTAAAAAATATTAAATAAATACATAAATTATTTTCACATAACACACAAGTCATTTAAAATTTTCATAAAATACCATAAATTTTAAAATATTACCATGATTTTATTAAAAAATAACTAAAATATTTATATTTTGAAAATAATATCGATTAACATGAAATTAATGGATATTTAAAATTCGAATATTTGTAGTATATATAAAAAAACTGAGATAGAATAGTTTAATCGAAAAACTCGAATATATAAAGTCTGAGGTGAGTTATCCTTATCAACCGTATCTAAATCTATTATATGATATGTGAATTTGAACATTACATTTAATTAAATCACATAATCCGCCAACTTAATAAATTAGTATATAACACATGCAATTTGACACGTGTTGGTCTAAATAATCCTAGATCGGGTTCTTTTGAATTTTAAATTTTTTTTATAAAAAATTCGGATTGGGTTTTTTTAAAACAATTTGCAAGAACAGGCAAACTTTGCAATGTTCTTACGGATCCCCAAAGCATCAGAATCAGTTCTGGTAAATATTGAATTTTCAATTCTTATATATATATATCACATGATTGGTTTGACTTGGAAAGAATGTGTTTGAGTTTTGCACGTTTTTCCTGTCAATTCTTTTTCATTACAAAATATTGATAGACTTTAAATACGCTTTGGTTTGCATCTTAAAGCTCATTAACAATTATTTGATTAAATTGATTAATTAAAACCCTTAAACGTATAAGCAATGTTAAATTATGTCATTGACTTGTTCAAGTCACGTTGCCAATCTGCAAGTTTGCCGCTGCATTGCACCTTTTAAAAGTCAAATTATAAATGTAGTGGCCCATTATACATTAAAATGTATTATACAATATGCATATTTGTTGAAGTAAGAGAAGTGCATATTCAGCATCTAGAAGATCAAACAAGAAAATGAAAATGTGGAGCTAAGCATGGAAAGCACATAAGAAAAGAAAATGGAAAACGGAAAGAAGACAGCTACATTCAAGAAGAAAAGGAAGAAAGTCTATGAAGAGGATATTCGATGAATCAAAGAAGAAAGGCGTATATATGCAAGGAACGAGGCATTAGGATGGTTGTCGAGATTGTCAAGAAAAAGGGTTTTTGAGAGAGACATTGTGAGAGATCTTTTGGTAAGGGAAACACCGGTGAGTGAGAACTGAGAGAAGGTGAGATCGACTTGAGGGAGAGCCTTGAAATTACAGGCGAACCGCTCCGTGCCTAGACGAGTTCTAGGGTGACACGTGGTGTGCGCTGTGCACAGTGTGTCTTTGGGCTGATAGAATTTCTTGTGATACTAAAGTTTCATTCAGAGGGAGTGAAATTGGTGAGGGTTGAGTACTACTTGGAAAGTACTGAAGTGTATTTGACTCGTATCAAAGAAATAGAATCAGTTTTGGTATTTCTGGTTTATTGTATCGTGTGTGGAGTATTTTCATTTGGTATCAGAGCAGGTCACCGATCGTAGGAAAGTGTTCCTCTCATATCGGTGTACGATTCAGATACACACGATGGAAGGATTCAAAGATCTACAATCGCTTGGAAAGACAGCTATGCTTGACTCAACCAACTATGGACATTGGAAAGTTAAAATCAGCTCTTACATCCGAGGATTAGATGAAGACACATGGAGTGCGGTTACTGATGGATGGACTCGACCAACTGATGTTATTGATGGAGTCATAAAAGCAAAACCAAAGAGTCAATGGACTCCTCAAGAGAAGAAAGATTCTGCTATGAATCAGAAGGCACTATCAATAATATTCAGCAGTGTGTGTCATGAGGAATTTGAGCAGATTCAAGGATGTGAAACTGCCAAAGAAGCCTGGGACACCTTGGAACTCATTCATGAAGGAACCTCTAAGGTAAAAAGAAACAGACTGGACATGATTGATCTGCAATTTGAACGTCTAAGGATGGGGGATGATGAAGGTGTCAAGGAGTTCTGTGGCAAATTAAGCGCACTGTCTAATGAGGCAAGTGTGCTTGGTAGGAGGATTAATGATGACAAGCTAGTGAAGAAACTGCTGAACTGTCTACCAACCAAGTTTCACTCACAGATCTTGGTGTTTGAAGGTGTTAACAATTTGGATACAGTCACCTTCAAAGAGGCTGTGGGGACTTTTGCTGCTCATGAACTGAGACTCCAGCTGATGAATGGAGGATCGTCTGTGCATTCAAGGAAAGGAGTTGCTCTGCATGTTCCGGAGACTAAGGTGGTAGATCAGGAAGTCAGAAAAAACATGAGGAACAAGAAGCTGTCTGAAGAGGAATTACATGAGGAAATGTCCCTTGTTGTCAGGAAGTTTAATAAATTCTTCAAAGGGAAAAAGAAATTCGGCCAATCAAATGATAGAGATGCTGGGAAATGTCTGGAGTGTAAGGGCCCAGGACACTGGAAGGCGGAATGTCCAAGTATCACCAAAAGGGAGAGTGTACTGAAGAATCTCAAAGATACACAATGCTTCGAATGTAAAGGTTTCGGCCATACAAAGGTGGAGTGTCTCAAGAGTAAGGGAAAATCTCTGATTACTCATGAAGAGGAGACTACAGACTCAGAAAGTGATGGCGAAGGAGAGGATCTGTCAAACTTTGTGGCTTTTCTTGGAGTTATTGAAGAGGAAGGTCAAGAAGTGGATAGTGACGGAGAGGAGGTCACTGAAGAAGAACTCTTTAAAGAAATGACTAAGCTGGTGCATATGAATAAACAACTTATCAGTGAAAAACAGCAACTGGAGAAAGAACTCAGGCAAGCTCAGATGCAACTGACGAGGACACAACAAGAGCTGACTCAGAAAGAGGAGGAGGCATCTAGTATGAAGTGTCAATTGGAAGAGACCAAGAAGAATCTCCATCTTCTTGGTAGTGGTACTGGGAAGTTGGATCATCTGCTTGGTTTAGGCCGAAGTTCAGGTGATCACTCGGGACTTGGATATCAAGGGCATACAAAATCTAGTTCAAAATTTGTATCTGGAGGAAATCTGACTCAAGAAGTGCCCTTGCCAAAGTATAGAAGTTCACAACCACAACAACCTGTGAGGAAGCCAGCCTACAATCGAAGGGAAAGTAGAACCTGCTATCACTGTGGAAAATTGGGACACATTCGGAGGAATTGCTTCTATTTGAAACAAAACAGAAGAAACTCAAGGTTCATCTTGTCATCCTACAACCCTCCAGTTTGGAATCTCAAATGGATTCGAAAGTCTGATCTGATGTGTCATGTAGCTTATACTACTGAAAACTGTGACAACTCAGGTGTCTGGTACCTTGACAGTGGTTGTTCCAGACATATGACAGGGAATCAAGGTATATTGAGAGATTTTGTAGAAACTCAAAAAGGAGGAAGTGTTACTTTTGGAGATGGCAAGCAAGGTCGAATTCTAGGTAAATGAACTTTACACTGTGATGGATTACCTAGACTGACTGATGTTAAAGTCGTGCAGGGTCTGAAAGCTAATCTGATTAGTATCAGTCAGCTCTGTGACAGTGGGATGCGAGTTAAGTTCACCAAGAATGCCTGTTTTGTAACGGATGAGGCAAACAAGTGTGTGTTGACTGGGAGAAGAAATTCTAACAACTGCTATACTTGGGTTAACTCAGAAAGGATCTCTGGACAGAAGTGCCTTATAGCCAAGAAAGATGAGCTGAACCTGTGGCATCAACGACTGGGACATATTAATCTGCGAACCTTGGTCAAGCTATCTAAGTCAGGTGCTGTTCGGAATCTTCCAGAACTTTCTCACAGTGACAAGTTTGTCTGCAAAGCTTGTCAGCTCGGCAAACAAGTTCGCATTCGACACAAGAAAACAGAGGAGATACATACATCACACATCTTGGAACTTGTTCACACGGACCTGATGGGGCCAATGCAAACAGAAAGCTATGGTGGCAAGAGGTATGTTTTGGTTTGTGTTGATGATTATTCCAGATTTACTTGGGTTCGTTTCTTACGAGAAAAATCAGAAGCCTGTATAGCTATACAGCATCTAGTTCTTCAGCTGAAAAATGGAAAGGGTATGGTACAACGCATTCGAAGTGATCATGGTAGAGAATTCGACAATGATGCGTTTCAACGATTCTGTGACACTCATGGTATATCTCATGAATTCTCAGCACCTAAAACACCACAACAAAATGGTGTAGTAGAGAGGAAGAACAGAACACTGCAAGAGATGGCACGATCTATGTTGCTAGCTAGGGATGTGGCCACTTGGTTCTGGGCAGAGGCCATGAGCACGGCTTGCTATTTAATTAATCGGATTTATCTTCGACCTGGCATGACTAAAACTCCGTATGAGATTTGGAAAGGGAGAAGTCCACCTCTCAAGTATGTTCACATCTTCGGATGCATCTGCTATATCTTGAATGACAGAGAATACTTGGGTAAAATGGACGCAAGAAGTGATGAAGGACTATTTCTTGGGTATGCTCAAAACTCTGCGGCTTACAGAGTATTTAATCTGCGTACTAAGACAGTGATGGAGTCTGCCAACGTCATCTTTGATGAAGAAATGGTACAAGAATCTACAGAAGTTTTTCTTCCTCCACTTGGTGATTCTCAGAACTCAGAGCTATCTCGTGCTGAGTCAAAACCATCTGAGAAAATCGACACTGACGATTCATCCTCTGACATTGATCCTGTTGAAGACTTGAGCATCAATACGAACACGCCAATCTCAGTTCATCGGAATCACTCTGCTGGAGACATCATTGGTGATATTCATGCCTCTCGTCAAACAAGAGGTAAACCAAGGATTAACTACAAAGACTTAGTTAGGTTTACCTGTTTTAATTCTCAAATCGAGCCCAAGAAAGTGTGTGAAGCACTGGAAGATGAGTTTTGGGTTCGGGCCATGCAAGAGGAGCTAGAACAATTTGTCCGCAATGATGTATGGGTCTTAGTCCCACGTCCTCAGCATACAAATGTTATTGGGACCAAATGGGTGTTCAAGAACAAGTCCAATGAGCTTGGTGAGATAGTTCGCAACAAGGCTCGGCTGGTGGCTCAGGGATATACTCAGGTTGAAGGTGTTGATTTTGATGAGACTTTTGCACCCGTGGCTCGTCTCGAATCCATCCGCTTGCTCCTTGGTGTTGCCTGCAGTCTAAATTTCAAGCTTTACCAAATGGATGTTAAAAGTGCTTTCCTAAATGGGATCCTGCAAGAGGAAGTATATGTGGAACAACCCATTGGCTTTGAAGATCCTCATCATCCTGATCATGTTTTTCGCCTGAAGAAAGCATTGTATGGACTGAAACAAGCCCCCCGGGCATGGTATGAGAGGTTAACCTCGTTCTTGGTGGATCACGGGTACAAAAGAGGGGGAGTAGACAAGACTCTGTTTGTTCATCAGGAGGATGAAGTTCTGATGGTTGTTCAGGTGTATGTTGATGACATCGTTTTTGGGCCTGTCTCTTAGAAAAAGGTGGATGAGTTTGTGCAGATGATGAGTGATGAGTTTGAGATGAGCATGTTTGGAGAGTTGAACTTCTTTCTAGGACTACAAGTCAGACAAACAGCTGATGGCATGTTTATCTCCCAAAGTAAATATGCTAGATCATTGGTCAAAAGGTTTGAGTTAGATGGCAGCAAATCAGCAAAAACACCAATGTCAACTACAACGAAACTGACTCGTGATGAAGATGGAGAAGATGTTGACTCTAAGCTTTACAGAGGAATGATTGGAAGTCTACTTTGTTTAACTGCAAGTAGACCTGACTTGTGTTTAAGTGTAGGTATCTGTGCAAGATATCAGGCCAAACCAAAGAAATCTCATTTGCAGGCAGTTAAGCGCATTATCAAATATGTGAAAGGAACCGTGGAGTATGGATTACACTACACGAAGGATACAAGGTGTGATCTGGTAGGTTTTTGTGATGCAGACTGGGGAGGTCATGCTGATGATAGAAGAAGTACTTCTGGAGGATGTTTCTTTCTTGGAAACAACATGGTGGCATGGCACAACAAGAAGCAAAATTCTACATCATTGTCAACAGCAGAAGCAGAATACATAGCCTTGGGAAGTTGTTGCACTCAACTCATGTGGATGCGTCAAACGCTCTTCGATTACGGTATTAACTTACCCTACTTTACCGCTTATTGTGACAATACGAGTGCTATTAATATTGCAAAGAATCCTGTTCAACACTCACGAACTAAGCATATTGAGATTCGTCACCATTTTCTAAGAGAACAAGTTGAAAAGAAAAACTTGATCATTGAGTACATTTCAACTGAAAAACAATTGGCTGACATATTTACTAAACCTTTAGATATGAACAGGTTTGTTAGTTTACAAAAATCCCTTGGTGTGGGGGAACTTTGATCTGTTTCTCAAGTTTTTGAAAAGAAAAATGAGCAGGAAAGGGTAGAAGTCAGTGGAAGCAAATGTCAAAGGAATGAACACGACGGTCAGAAGTACTTCACTGATTCTCAGGTACATCTCGCAAATGCAGACTTATAAACTTGATTCTGGTGCTCCTCTGTCATGGTACACCAATAGACATAATTGTCGAAGGAATCATGATACGAGTAAACTTATGAGGTGCTCGGGTCTAAGTTGAGAGATAACATTCTATACGATGGTCTAAGGGCAAATAGAAATTAAAAAAAAAAAAAAAGAAGAATCCTCTGTCATGGAACATTGGGTAACTTCAGTTTCTAAATACTCCGCTGTGACTCACAAGAGTTTCACATGAGTATATCTCAAAAAGAGATAGTCTGGACCTTAATGGTGGGAATGATCTATCGATACAACGTCCTAGAAGTTCAGAATCTGTTTGATTTGCAAAATAATCTAAGTCTGAGTAAAGCTTGAGAAGCATCTGAGAATGTGTGAAGTGCAACTGAAAGTCGGATACATTTCTGCGATGTGAGTATCTTACTGATTGGTATCTCTAACCTAATCATTTTCTATTATTATTTGAATTTTCTCGGTTTGTTTCTGTTGTTACTATCAGACCTGAAATTATCTCGAAGGGTTAGTAATTTGAATATGCTAAATTGTGATTCAGCGGGAATGGAAATTTAATCAGGTTATTTTTTAAAATTTGAATTTCTCGCACTAAATACACGGGGTTCTAAATATGCCCTAATTTCTCGCTTGCTTAAAACACCCACGATCTTTTCTCTCTCTATTTTGGAAGTTCGGAATTCACGGGTTTGGTTGCAGAAAGAAACTTCCCTCACAGATGGCGAACAAGAAAATCGGGAAGGTTATCAGACAAGGGGAGCGTCGCTCAGCGAGATATGCCGCTCGACAGGCTAGTGAAACAGGTAATCCCACTCTTCCTGTAGTAGTCGAGGAACCAGTGACCATGGATGCAGGTCGAGAACAGGAAACTAGAAATACGGAGCATGCACTCCCAGATGAGGCAGAGAAATCAGACCCTGAAGTGATTCCGCTGCAGACAAAGAGGAGAAAAACAAAATCAAGCAAAGATAAGGATACACTGCCACAACTCCTGGAACAATCGATACCTGGTTCAAGTGAGCATGCTCGGTCTAATTCTGAGAAGGATCTGACAACTGAGCATGTTGAAGTGAGAACATCTCAGGAAGGACCGTTAGTTGAAGAAAAAGAACCCGATGGCGAAAATGTTCGGTCTGACAACTCTCTGGATTTCGATATTCAGACTCAGGGGGATAAACAAGCTGAAACTGGAGAAGTACAAGAACATTTGGATGATGACGTCATTGAACAGGATGGAGTGAGCGATGACCGAACCATTACTGAAGCCTTAGATGGAATGTCAAAGGAAGACGATGCGGATACAGTAATGGAGACTCAATCCCGAGCCCCAGAAGTCTCTGTTCAAGTAAGTTCCGACAACTCAGATAGTCCTTTGATTGTTATGCAACAAAAGGCTAGGTCAAGAGCAAACGTGAAACAGAATAAGACTTCGAAAGGAAAGAAGAAGGTTTCACAAGGTTCCAAAAGAGCAAAGATGCACAGAAAAACAAAGAAGGGGAACTCAGAAGGACCATCTGAATCAAGTATACCGAGTAATGAAACAGGGGTTAGGAGTGTCAAACCACTGTCTGAGAAATTCTTGTCTGCTGAGACCAAGAAGAGATTCGAAAAATTCAAGGGAGTGGAAGTACTTGCAGAAAGGAATGTGAATGTCATGGATTTTCGGAAGAATCACGTCTGGGATCTATTTGCAGAACGACAGCTCACAGGAACACTAACGTATGCATGCTCATTCAGTAAAGGGTTGGTAAGAGAATTCTATGCCAATCTAACACCTAGCACCGATATCCCTGGTGATTTCATGCATTACAAGGCGTTTGTGAGAGGAAGATTCATTGAATTCTCTCCCACCATCATCAACAAACTGTTGGGCACACCTGATGACTCAACTCAGGGATTGGAAGACCTTCCAGAGGGAACTACACTTGAGGATTTGGAAGTGGCTCTGACTGGAGAATATGTTGCTGATAGAAGTGGGAAGCTCCCTATTGCTGGTCTTAAGTTTGAAAGTAGAGTAATGCATCTGATTGGAAAGACGAACTGGTTACCTACTCGAAGAACTGATGTTCTACAGGACGAATTAGCCCTACTGATATTCAAGTTGCTGAGGAAAGAAGATGTGAATCTGGGAAGGATTATCTATAGTCACATCCTCTCAAGGGCTGCTGACATGAGAGTGCGCTATTTGCTACCCCATCCGTGCCTAATTCAGAACATCATTGTGCGACAAAGTCCAGAAATTCTAGCAGATTCTGAGATTACTGAGGTGATTCAGCGGCCATTGGTCATTGAGTCTAGAGTTCTACAAGCAAAGATGAGTCGGGCACAACTATGCAGCAAGACCTTCACTCTTCTTCTGAAACATGACAAGCAACTTATTCAAGTTGAGAAGCTGCAAAGGCAGGTTACCAAAGTTGTGGCTCAGATTCGTGCGCGTCAACATGCTCTTTGGACAGAGTTTCAGAGTAATGCATAATCCGCATTCTTCTTCGAGGTATGATCGTTGGTTATGATTACACTAATGTTTTTGATTGTCTGCTTATCCACACAGGGGGAGAAAGTGAAGGAGTTCCCTCATCGAGTACTCCAGACAAAGGAAAAGAGAATATAGTTGAGGACTTGATGAGTGACTCTGGTAATGAAGAGGATGCTGATACAACAGAAGATCTATCTGAGTGAATACTACTTCAGTTCTCATGAAGTGGATTTGAGCTGGATTTGAGCTAACCATGTGTGCTTCTTGTTTCTGATGTCTTTGTGTCTGACATCTTTCGAATGTTGCTTTCATGTTTTTTCGAATTCTGTTGCTCTTATGTCTATCCATTGTGTACTGAACTGGTTGGTTAGATATATCTTCTGTTTGTCATGGATTACACTACATATCTGTGTGAGTTTGAGTGTGTCTAAGCAGAAAGTCAAAAAGGGGGAGAATGTTGAAGCAAGGGAAGTGCATATTCAGCATCTAGAAGATCAAACAAGAAAATGGAAATGTGGAGCTAAGCATGGAAAGCACATAAGGAAAGAAAATGGAAAACGGAAAGAAGGCAGCTACATTCAAGAAGAAAAGGAAGAAAGTCTATGAAGAGGATATTCGATGAATCAAAGAAGAAAGGCGTATATATGCAAGGAACGAGGCATTAGGATGGTTGTCGAGATTGTCAAGAAAAAGGGTTTTTGAGAGAGACATTGTGAGAGATCTTTTGGTAAGGGAAACACCGGTGAGTGAGAACTGAGAGAAGGTGAGATCGACTTGAGGGGGAGCCTTGAAATTACAGGCGAACCGCTCCGTGCCTAGACGAGTTCTAGGGTGACACGTGGTGTGCGCTGTGCACAGTCTGTCTTTGGGCTGGTAGAATTTCTTGTGATACTAAAGTTTCATTCAGAGGAGTGAAATTGGTGAGGGTTGAGTACTACTTGGAAAGTACTGAAGTGTATTTGACTCGTATCAAAGAAATAGAATCAGTTTTGGTATTTCTGGTTTATTGTATCGTGTGTGGAGTATTTTCAATATTTATATATACACAATACAACCATAGCTAATTAATATATATGTGTACATATATACATATACACCCTTAGATGTGTTTGTTTGAGTGTATAGAGCGCCAAAGATTGCTTTTGTATTTATTGTATATCCATTGTTATATATATTGGGTAACATTCCGGCGAACCAATCATGAAGGAGGCGGAGTATCTCCGGTGGCTCACGGAGGAGACGACGTCGTACAATGACATCATCGGAATATTTTTTCCGGCGACGATGTGGAAGCAGATGCCGCATTTCGTCCAAACATTGCTGCGAAACTATATTACCTCCGTCGTTGTCTACTTCCTCCTCTGCTTTCTCTGGTGTTTCTACTTCTACTACTTCAAGTCCAACGTCTATACACCCAAAGGTAGATATACATACAGTATTACATATAGGGTTCCGTGTGTACGTACGTACGTACGTATATATGTATGTATCATGTATGTACGTATATATATGTATGTATGTATGTGTGTATATATGTATGTATGTATGTGTGTGTACACCCAAAGGTAGATATACATACAGTATTACATATAGGTTTCCGTGTGTACGTACGTACGTACGTACGTATGTATGTATGTATGTATGTGTATGTGTATGTATGTATGTATGTATGTATGTATGTATGTATGTATGTATGTATGTGTGTGTGTGTGTGTGTTTTGACCTATACATATGAGACGCAAGAACAGCTTGTGTTCAAACCGAACTATTTTAAAAACATGTCCTATTTTTCAAAGATTCATTTTCAATCACATGAGTGTTCTTGAGTAAATTGCCTTTATTAACTAATATATTTATCATCTTATTATTAAAAGAATCTCAATCGATAGTGGACCCATAAAAATTTATAAATATGGCAATCGTAACATATGTATAATTTTGTAGAGATTAACTTAATTTTATTATGGAGGTATTTATCAATTTTATTTGAATTTTTAAAAATTTTAAAATTAACTTTTTTTTTTAATTAAATAGATGGGGCATATACCACATCATATATAAACTAGATCCATCCCTGATCTCTTTGATTGTAGATCGCTTGTGCGGTCGAGTTATTGACTTTTGGTTTCATTTGTTTTCAATTATATACAGAGAGAGAAAAAAGACGGAGGATAATTAGAATTTTTATTATTCAATATAACACATTACAATATTTATAAATACAAAATAAAATAAAAAAATAATTTATTTTATAAATATAAATATATAAAATATAGAAATAAAACCAAATCTTCTCGAATATTTTTTTTTATATCTCTTAATATATTTTAGTTTTATTACCAAAACGTACGATTTGTTAATTATGACAACTGTCATTCTCACCCTCAGGGCCGTCTATAAGGAGGTGCAATTGGAGCTTCTGTACAGGGTCTCCAATTCTATGGGGCCTCATTTTTTCTTAAAAAAATATATATTTTTAAAGTTTACTAAAATTTTTAATAAAATAGGAGAAACTATTATAAATTTAAAATTTTAAAAGATTAAATTTTGTTAAATTGTAATGATCTTTTAATTTATAATTAATTAAAATTAATTATAATTTTTAATCACTATATATTTTAAAAAATAAACAAAATTAGTATAAAAATCAAAAGTTTCATAACAAGAAAATTGATTTTAATTTGTATTACTCTTTAAAAATAATAAGTAATAATTATTTTAAATTTTATTGTAATAAATAATATATATTTTTCTAATTTTTGTTTAATTTTTGTTTAATTTTTATATAATATAAAATTGTATATATTATATAATATATTTATTTTTTAAAAATATTAATTAAATTTAAAAAAATTATAAAAAATAATAAATATATAATTGAATAGGGCCTCTCAAATCTATGAGACGGCTCTGCTCATCTTATGAGGTTAAACGTAACATGATTTCTACGAAATAAAAGATTTATTTTACCTAAGAGTACTTTAGGAATTTTGCGTCATTCATTAATGTGTGTGAAAAATAAAAAAATCCACAATGAGATTTGTATGAAAGCAAACGGAATATAATTAATGCTATGCATTTTCTTTAGAAAAATTATGCCACATGCATATTTCATGGTTAGGTTTCTCTAAGCCCTCAAAACAGTTTTTGAAAACCCTATTATTAGGAAATCCTATTCATTTAATCAAGGATTAACATATTCTGTGATGGTATAAATTTGAACATGTTGAACTTTCGGATTTAAATTAAATTGTAATTTTTTTTTCTAAAATTATATTTGTTCGGTTTTTTACATTAGATTTTAGTTCGGTTCTTATTTACCTTGAATTCGTTTTTTATTAAAAAAAAATGTTTATTTTTTAAAATAATTATTCTTTTTTATTATTTTTACGTGGTTTCGTTTTGATTCGAATTCATTTAATTTGATTTCAGAAAAATATATCTAATAGGTTTAGTTCCATCTCGATTTAAATATAGTTACGCATTATTTGGTTCGTTTCGATTTTGTATGCCCCGAACCGAAATATCAAAGAGAAAACTGAAACCTTATCTTCTTTCATAACAAATGTAAATGGCTGGATTTGGAACCAACATATTTCTTATGATATTTACAATATACATGTTATTGTGCTTTAAAAAAATATATAGTTCAACCAATTACGATGCGTAATTGAAATATATTGTTGCATGCATGCAGATTCTAGGATCCCTTGGAGAAAATCCGTAATAATGTCGCAAATAAGCGTATCGATGAAGGCTATGCCATGGATCTCTACAGTCGCGGCAATCTCAGAACGTATGATAGAGGGTGGGTGGACTAAGTGTTACATTTCAATAAGCGAAGTCGGTCCATTGGCTTACATAATGCACGTATTGATCCATGCGATGTTCGTCGAGTTCTGGTTGTATTGGACGCACCGAGCCATGCACGATATCAAGCCTCTGTACAAACGCTTCCACTCGGTCCACCACAAGTTCAACAAGGAGGACTCTCTCTCTCCTTTTGCCGGTACTTTCTCTCTCTATCTTTTTTTTTTGGGAATCTAAAATGTTTTTTTTTTGCGTAATAAATATTATAAGTATGTAACGAAAATTGAATAACAATTTAGTTTAGGGTATAAGGAAATCACATTTCACATTCACCGCCACGAAACAAATATAGAAATTTACACATATATTAAAAGAAAGGTAAAATCTTGATGGAAAACTAATTCCTAAAATTTTTGTTTAATAAATTTATTTTCAAATTCATAAAATGTAGCATTATAATTTTCAAACTTGGAAAATGTGTTATTACGATTTTCGAATTGATTTTTGGATCAACATCATCGATGTTTCTTTTGGCACCAACTAACAAGTTTAGTAATTATAATGACATATTTTTTATAAGTTTGATAATAAATTTTATAAAACGAAAAATTTAAGAATTATTTTTTCTCTATTTTACAACTTTAACAATTTTTATGGGTTTTATCCTAAAAATAATTAGTTTTTTTAATTTATCGAGAATACCAAACAATCTATACACATGAAAATCTCAAAAGAAAACAACTTTTTTAGAGAAATCAACTTGAAAACACGTATTCTCTTAATTATATACACTTTTTAAGAAGATAATATCTATTGTGGATCACTTGCTATTGGAAAGGACGAAACATTTTAAAAACATGCGTATAACTTGATTCAACTTTACATCCTACCCCATCAATGTCATATTATATATATATATATATATATATTAAGTGATAATGGCGTTATCATACCAGGATTCGACCGTATATCTTCCATACACTTTATATCTCGACTACTGTATACATTAATGCTTAGTAATAATAATATCGAATTCGAATGTTTATATAATGCAGGACCAGCAAGTCATCCTGTGGAGGCAGTATTAGACGTAGTGCCGTTCATGGTACTACTCTTCCTCGTCCCAATGCATTTCACGACCGAACTGATCCTTATGTCACTCAACGGTATTTGGACATTGTACACTCACAGTTGCGTTGATGCCGAGATTTGGCCGATCATGTCCGCAGATTATCATACATTGCATCACGTGACACATCGCTATAACTACGGGAATTACACCGTGCTTATGGATTGGATGTTCGGAACCCTTCGTCCCCCCTCAATCCATGGAGATGAGGACAAGGCTAAATGATTTTCGCAACTAATGTAACATATGATATACCCTTTATTGCCGTTATTATACGATGATGAAAGAACAAAAGAACGTTTACATTGTTGAGATTAGTATTAGTTTATATGGTTGGTGTATGTAGCAAATGGATCGATACATACGTAGATATGTTTCTCGTATAATTCACATGTTGCAACGGATACCCTTCGTGGATCATAATCATGTACACCGTCGGGCTTTGGGCCGGGTTTCAAAAGCCCGTTTTGGTTTTTTAAAGAACAGAATAAATGAAATAAAAAATAAACCCTAATCCTAAAACCCTAAGTCGTCTTCTTCTTACAGGGTTTTTTAAATTAGGGCCGGCTCGAATCCGAACCCGAGTCCTGAGGGCCGGGCTTCCGAGTTCAGGTCAAGATCCGACCGATTAAACCCTAACCCGTAAATTTTCTCTCTCTCCTTTGCAACTTCTAGCTCTTTCGCGAGGAAGCGTGAGCGGTGTGGTGACACAAGGCACGTCAATTGAACCTTCTGCTCAGTTCTAGAACCTGCATTATCTTAGCGAAGAATCACGAGTCTTAAACCTGTGAATTTGTTTGTGGGTATTCGAATTTGATATATCTTTGTTCTGAACTTCTGTAGGTAAGAGGTGAACTCTATTTCTGGATTCTTTTTGGATTGTGTGGAGAATCTTCGGCGATGATGGAGAACGGAAACGAACCGCGAATCGATGTCAGATCGGTGGTTGAAGCTGTCTCCGCCAATGACGCCGTCGATGCTCCTCTCTACGAAGTCGAGAGCATGTGCATGCGCTGCGGTGAAAACGTCTCTCTCTCTCTCTCTCTCTCTGCGATTTGTCTGGTTGCAGCTTCTGTGTATAACATAGTTTTGTTTGCTTTTCTGTACCGATGAAAGGGAAATTTGGAGAAATCCTTCAATGTCAAACATTGCGTTTATAAAATTGATTAGCCACAAGTGAAAGGATGAATAATCTCTGTAGGAACTTGCTCAATGTTCCTGGTTGAATTCTTTTCGAGCTTTGGGCATTGAAAATTCACGAGATTTTTGGGTTGGAATTGGAATTGGAATTTTAAGCTACAAGAGGAATCAGAGATGAAAAAGGAATAGTTAATCGGACATATCCCAGGGATAAAAGAGGAACTTTATGGGTTAACATTAAGGTTCCTGGTTCTGTGTATGGAGTCTTAGCCTGTATCTTGTGGGGTTGCAGTTTCTCTTTCGCGGAAACATAAATTCTTCTTAATGGACAGTCTCTTGTGTAATTTCTGTCTCTTACTTGTTTCCAAAGGTGTGCATGACTGGGAAATACCTCAGGATCTTCTTCAGCTTTTCGTGCTTTCAAATGTTTCTTGAGATTGTTTAAACGTAAATCTGAAAGAAAAAAAGTGGAGGATATTGGTTATATGCTTTGGTGATGTGCCGAAAAATCTGAGGTGATAGCATTTGAAAATTTTGCGGTCCCTTAGCAAACAGTTTACTGTCAGCTGCAAGTGCATTCTTATTCATTCTTTCAGTCGTTATAAAGGGTTGGTTTGTATTAGGTTTCAGTTCTTCCTTCAAACTTCTAGTTTCATGCAAAACGAATTATTTGTTCTTGTGCAGGGAACTACCAGATTTCTATTAACCTTAATTCCTCACTTCAGAAAGGTATGTGACTGTGATGATTCTGTGTTTCAGACTTCAGAGTCACAATTTATTTCCATTTCTTTCATTGTTTCTCTACCCTGTGTGAGCTTAGGGTTAGTTTGAACTTATTTGTTGCAGGTTTTGTTATCGGCATTTGATTGCCCCCATTGTGGTGAAAGGTGTTGATTTTTACCATTTCGATATGCCATTAAATACTTAATATGAGGAGGCTTTTTCTTTTCTTCCCCCCCCCTTTCTCCTTATCGGAAATGGCGTTGAAACATTTCACTCTAATCTATCGTTATAGGAACAATGAAGTTCAGTTTGCTGGCGAGATCCAACCCCGAGGGTGCTGCTATCATATGGAAGTTCCAGCCGGTGATCATAAGGTTGATGGTTATATTAAGTTTCTGTTTTACCTTGTACTTTAACTGAAATTGTTTCATGGATCTGGATAGCTGTGCTGCCGACAACTGAATTTCTATATTTTCTTGTTTTGCTTCAATTTGTGTTTTCATCTCATTGATCTAGTACATTTTTCTTTTCATTTTTAAATCAAGATAGTTTTGAATGTATCATAAATTTGTTTGTTCCAAAGATCTTGTTTCCATTAGGTTAATGACAATTCTCCATGCTAATCCTATTAAGAAAGAAAACATAAGGAGGAGGACCAAAGGCAAAAACCATATTTGTTTTCGTTGTTCCTTATTATTGGACTGATTGTATCTCTTCGTTTCTGTTTAATGCATAGATGTTTAGTCGGCAAGTTGTAAAATCTGAGTCAGCTTCTATTAAGGTGAGTTATCTTTACCCTTTTTTTGATTTGGGTCTTCTTGTTGAGGCGCTGTTATCCTGTTTCGGATGACCTTTTATGCATACATATTAGTGAGGAATAGAATTTTGCAGCCAAAGATAAATACATAGCGTAACTGTGTATTTGTATACACACACCATAGCATCTAACTGATAACTATGGATCAGTATGCTTTATTTGTATTATCATAGCATTGGAACAGTTTGAAGAGGCAAATTAACTGCGTTTTGCTTGTATGTCTGGATGTAGATTCCTGAACTGGACTTTGAGATTCCACCAGAGGCTCAACGCGGAAGTTTGTCAACAGTAAGTTCGTAATATCCCATCCCATTTGGCGTGTTGTGAACATGCCATCTTTGGCGTAATATATATATATATATATAGATATATTTTTTTGAACAGTCTCAGCATACTTCTGGTTCATGCGTAGGAACAATTTGACAACTTGATAGTTATACTGCACAGATTTTTTTATCGTTTGTCAATTTAAGAATGTGAAAATCATCATGACTGTCCGATTTGAGTTTTAACGTATTTTGTCTGCTATAACCTGGTGTGTGGGGTTTGGTAAACTTCGATTTTATAGTAACATTAGCTCTTCTGACAGAGAGGCTATAACAATTATGCAGTTTGGCTTTTGGTTTTTTAGGTCTCTGTCTCTTTCCAAAGTAACCTACTTTATGTTGTGCATTTCCAGGTGGAAGGGATATTAGTACGAGCTGCTGATGAACTAGAAGCTCTTCAAGAAGAGCGCAGGGTAAGTTTTGAATAGGGGCTTAAAAATCTATTTGTGATGCATATAAAATTGATTTATTTGCCTTCCGGAATGTAACAATATATATTTTGTTCGATTCAGAAAGTAGATCCTAAAACCGCTGAAGCAATAGACCAGTTCTTGACGAAACTGAGGGCTTGTGCTACAGCAGAGACATCATTTACCTTCATTTTGGATGACCCTGCTGGAAACAGCTTCATCGAGAACCCGTAAGACATTATCTGATTCTGAATTTCTGATAGAACCCTAGCTTTCGGATAACAATGCCTTATCTTTTGTTTGTTTATGATAATTTCACCTCCCTGTTTATGACAGGTATGCTCCATCACCAGATCCAACATTGACCATCAAATTCTATGAGCGAACGCCCGAGCAACAAGCAGCATTAGGTTATCTTTCTGCCCCGTCACAGGCTGAACAAGCAAATGAGGGTACCTCATCTGTTGAAACAACATTACCACATGGATCAATAGGAGCAACAGCTGGACACAGGGCGATTGCTCAGAGTAATAGCACTGAGATTGCTGAGAACTTGTTCAGATACACTGCACCCGAAGAGGTAAGGGAATTCTTGACAAAGATTATCAAGAATAGGTTAGGATAATTGTTTGGGATTCACATCCTTTAGTAAACGAACTTAGTTCTGAGTCAAATTTTGTGTCCTTTTAGCAGAATACTAGAATCTAGATGAAATATTTCTAATCATGTAATAATTTCTTATATGCCCAACAGGTGATGACTTTCCCTTCAACTTGTGGAGCATGCACAAAACGGTGTGAAACACGGATGTTTGTGACTAGTATCCTTCCAGAGTAGTTTTTTTAGCTCTGTAACAGCGGAAGTTCTTTACAATTGTGTTTTACCGGTTGCTGATGTTGAGACAAACTCTTATATGATGCTGTTTACAACTTGACATAAAATAGAAATCCCATACTTTCAGGAGGTTATTGTGATGGCATCTACATGTGACGAATGTGGCTACCGCAACTCTGAGGTTTGTTTTCATTTTGGTTAAATCTGGTTAGAGATTTCGGAAAACGTGCTTTTGATGTTCAAATTTGTTTCTGAGCAGTTAAAGCCTGGTGGTTCTATTCCTGAAAAGGGAAAGCGAATCACTCTCTCCGTGAGGAATGTTTCCGATCTTAGCCGAGATGTTATCAAGGTTAGTTTTACGTTTAATCAATTTCCAACAGTTGCCCATTATTGCATGGTATGTCACTTGATTAGCGGAGATGTCATATCACTTGTAATTCTTTGCTCATTCAAAATTGTAACTTTAAGAATGAAACTTTTCCATGCTAAGCTCTATTCAATCTATTCGAGAATGTAGAAAATGTGTTTACTTCCACGTCAAATCTAACCGTAATTACAAACTTAATGACACTTGGGCATGATAATATATAGAATGGTCTGAAATTTTCAGACAAATGGGGCATTTTGAAGATATGCCAGAGAGGCTAGTTAGTTTCTTGCAGTGTCAGTATGTCTGAGTGACATGTTAAGATATCTGATATGACCCCGGAGAATTTAATGCATTTCAGTGTGTAGACAAGGAAACAAAATGTCTGATTAGCTACAACATTGTATATGTCTTTGGGGTTTTACAGATTTTAATGACCTTAGAACTATGTCGTTGAAATTATCTATTATCCGTTTCAGTCAGATACTGCTGGAGTAAAAATTCCGGAACTTGATCTGGAGCTGGCCAGTGGAACCCTTGGTGGAATTGTAACAACAGTGGAAGGTTTAGTCATGAAGATCAGCGAAAGTGAGTATGATCTTTCAGTTTTATTTGACAAACTCTATTTTCCAATTTGAAATAACAGCCAAAAATATTGGTCATACCGTCATAGTGGCCTTGTGTAAGCAGCATTATGCCATCTAGTTGGTCCAAGATCTAAATCTCATGTATAATACCGAGGGAAGTCAAGCTTCTTGTCCTCTGGCTAACAAAGCTTCGGTTGTATGGATCCATGCAGGCCTTGAGAGAGTTCATGGATTCACTTTTGGTGACAGTCTCGGCGAAAGCAAGAAGAATAAGTGGATAGAATTTCGGTCCAGGCTAACTAAGGTTTAAAAAAACCCCATTTTCCTTTGGATGAACTATTATTTCAATCTGTAAACTCGAGAGCTATGGTTTGTGCAAGTGTATGCTTACCATCATACTTATTCTGTCTCCGGTTTGTTTCTATTTCTGTTTCTGCAGCTCCTAAGCTTGGAAGAGCCATGGACTTTGATTCTTGATGATGGATTAGCAAACTCCTTCATTGCGCCAGTCACAGATGATATCAAAGATGATGATCAGCTGACTTGTAAGTTGTTACCTCTCTTTCTTGTCAAATGTTCAGACATAAGTTTGGTGTTCCGGTCCTTTCCTGAAAATGCCTAATCGGCATGTTTTTGGTTCTGAAATAAATTTAATCTTAGATTCTAAAGAACCCAAAGTCCTAAGCTGCCAGCCGACTTTAGATGTCGATATCGGTTCTGCGTTTTAGGGTTTAGGGTTTTAACCAGATCTCATTGCCCGGTACGATCCGTGATTAAGCGTTATCGTTTTTTTCTTTTGTTTGGGTTGGTGGGGGTTGCAGTTGAAGAGTACCAGAGATCATGGGAACAGAACGACGAGTTGGGTCTGAACGACATAGACACTTCCTCAGCTGATGCTGCTTATGTTTCCATTGACACAGCCAAAGCTTGACCATAAGCATCAAATTTTGTACTCTCTTTTTCTGTAATTTAAGTCTTCACTGTTGTGTTAAGAGTGCACTAGTTGAATACAAAGCCTTCTGTTTTTGAATAATTTGATTGAATTTTTATTTTATACATTGGAATAATTTTTGGTTATTCATGTTTCGGTTTGGGTTTGGATTCGATTTCTCGGTTATTTCGGTTTTTTAAAAATATACAACTGTTTAATGGTCTGGTTTTAGTTTTTATTAATTCAAATACTAAAAAAATCGATTTTTTTATATTTTTTCTTTCGTTTTCCTTTTGATTTTTTTATTGCTTACAATTTAAGTAGTTCAAGATAGGGATGGTTTCGGAAAACGGTTCGGGTTCGGGATGGAATTGATCGGTTCGGTTCTTTCGGTTTTACAAAAATAGATACCAATCGAACTTTTTATTGTATTCGGTTCGATTTCGGTATCGGTTCGGTTCGGTTTCGGATTTTATTAAAAAAATGATAGATTTCTTTTAAAAATATTCAGTTTTTCGGAATTTTTAAAGTTCAGTTCGGTTCGGTTCCGGAAAAATTTGGTTCTCTTAAAATGGTACCGTTCGAGAAATAACAGCAGTTTCGGGTCAGAAAAAATATCGTTTTAACGGTTCGGTTCAGTCCGGTTTTAAAGAATTGAACCGAAACGCCCAGCCCTAGTTCAAGCAATACATTTTGCCTCAAATTAGGCCTATCAATGAACCGCAGGAGAAACCCTAAATCTAAATCCGGAAGAGTATGAGCGTGCAAATCCCACGCGCATCTCCTGCGCGTATTATGAGAGCGCCTGATTTTAATATTAGGAGAAAAGAAGGCGCAGGTAGCTTTTTTTAACATTTTAAGTGCAAAAATTATTGTTTTGCTGACGTGGCATCTACCCGGTCCGACCCGCTCCAACCGGGGCCCAACTTTTAACGGCCCGACCCGTTAGAAGTTCATAGCATCGTCTTCGCTGTTTCCATTGGCACGCGAAGTGAAGAATAAGCAGAAATGGGACTCCGCCGGAATTTCAAATTTCCCGCGAGAACGAAGACGGGGGTTCTCATCCTCACCGCCGCTGGTGTAGCTTTGACCTCTGCCGCTTCTACCGCCTTCGGTGGCGCCGCTTCGTTTTCTCGGGATTCTCCTTCTCCCGCGCGGCATTTTCCCGAGAAAATCGCGGCGGTCATCGAAGGCGTCGTCCGCTCTTCTCGCGCTATATACGCCGTTCGTTGCTTGTTTGTTATATTGTTTCTTTGTAATTGGGTTGGTTCAAATTTCTCATTCAAGGTTTCACTTGTTCTGGTTGCAGATCGCTTTCACCGTGGCGGATTACAAGTATAGTTTGCGTAGATTGCCAGTGGAATCCGAGGAGTATCTTCACAGATTAACTGAGGTTCGTAATTCATCAGCGTCTGAAATGGTTTCTGTATTGTTGCATAAAGCTATTATTTAGGAAAACGATGGTTTCTTTAGTAATCCTCAACGTTCCATTTGTTTTCAAGGTGGTTTCATGGGCTAGTTGTAGGTATGAACGAACATGAGATTATATTATATCCGCCGAAGGTGAAGTTTTCTCATAAAGCGGGGAAAGCCATTTTTTGTGATTTGATATATGATGAGCCTTTCGTCGGTGGAAGATAATATATTCAATCATCTAGCTTGTATTATTAGCTGATCAAGATATCTTTTGGAGCTGGTTTTGCAAAATTCTTCTAGAGGAGTTTCCTGTTTAATTTATCACAGTTGAATTGGCACATTATAGCGGTTCGAATACATTGTACTTCCTTTGTATTTTTATACAAAAAGAAAAGCCTTTGTATCCTAAATGTTAGTTGTTTTGTAAACTAGGTTCATTTGAGGTCTGCCAAACGAATTCTCAAACTTTGTGAAATTAACAAGGGCTTCTATATAAAAGCTGGTCAATTTGTGGCTGCCATGAAGCAGGTCCCAAAAGAGTACACTCTAACCCTTTCTTCATTACAGGACCAGGTCTGTTTGATTAATATGCCTTTTATCAAGTACTTTTCTTGAGAAAATTTTTCTTTCCACAGCTCTATGACTTTTTTCTGTGCAAAGAAAGGATTCTCACAGTTGATTCTGTTTCTGATTTGTTTACACGGTCAATAATACTGAAGGCAGTTCCTTGTCATTTCCAACCCATAAAAGAAGTTCTTATTGGAAATCTGGGTCTTAGTCCTTCAGAAATGTAAGTTCTCTGGAATTTTTTTAAACCTCAATTACACTGGTATAGGAGTTGAAGCAATGTTATGTGGTTTTCTTTCCAGACTTTGTTTTTTGCATATGGTTTAACATAATTTATTTTTAAAATTCCAGATTTTTATCTTTTGATGAAGAACCAATTGCTGCAGCGTCTATTGCTCAAGTACATCATGCAGTGTTGAAGGATCATCAGGAAGTAGCAGTAAAGGTTGCTTAGTTCTTATACAGTTTGCAAGTTGATTAGCATTACTGCTAATGAATTTTCTTTTCTTGTCATTTTTTGGAAAAACTACTTTTGCCTATCCACGTAGGAAAATCGGTTTCTAAATACTTGCTCTTTTTGTGGTCCTCTATGTCATATTGGATTGTTTTCGTTTTTATGTTGGAGCTTTTCATGTCTGTTCCAATAACCAATCTTGTAGTCCTCCCTTTAGTTTTGTGAAAGGCACATGAAGCACAATTTGATCCTTGTTGAGAATGTACATTAACCATGCTTTCCTATTTGTGGGTTTCTTTGGCTAAAATAGGTACAGTACCCTGGATTGGAGCAGAAGATGAGGTTAGACACAACAATCATGTCATTTCTTTCGAAATCAGTTGCAAAGGTTCACATTCCTCAATGCCTCTGTATATTCCTCTTTTCTTCTAGTACTTACTGTAGCAAAAGAGATAAAAGAGATATATGACAGATGCGAGAAAGTGAAGAGATATATGACGGCATGGATACAGAGTGGTAACAAGTGAATTTGGGAAGTATGATGTTAGGTGGACCTGAGGCTTGTGATTTTGATTCGGGAGTTTAGGGGTTGTTGCATGTTAGATACATGTATTTATTGGAACCTGTTGGTATAATTTGTAATTTCTATGTTAGTGCAGTTTACACTTTTCTTGGAATACCTTGAGAACCCAACTACTAATGAGTAATGACATCTAAAGCTTGAAACTAGGTGTCTGTGGTGAATGGTTAAATAGTTTCTAGGACATTGTAGCCTGTACTTTCAGGAGATATCCTGCAAAGTTCATTATCTTTGCGGTGATTCTTAATAGAAACTGGGCTATTGTGTCTGGTGGTTACCATGGAGATTAGTGATACAATCATTTGTATTTGGAGTTCTTGATATAGCCCACTGTATCATGTCATAATTCACGTTCTTTTAGTTATAGTCTTTCCTTTTCTATCTCTCTCTCTCAACAGTTATTCCCAGACTACAGGTTTGACTGGCTGGTCACAGAATTTGTAAAGGCAATTTCTCAGGAACTTGGTTAGTAATATTGCTCTTTGGACCCAAGTATTATATTGAGCGCCTGTGTCTCTGATTTGCTTTTTCCATATAACATAATGTTGAATTGTTGGAGTAACTATGAACATTGCTTAGATCTGTATGAATACGTGGTATAGTCCACTCATTTCATTTTTTCTTCAAGCTTATGGTTATTTATAGTTAGCATTAACTGGAATGGATAATAATGATCCGTTTCTGTTTTAAACTTTCCCTCTGCAGATTTCATACAAGAGGCCAAAAATTCAGAGAGAACAGCAAAAAACTTTAAAAATAACAAAATGGTTATTGTTCCCAGGGTATTTTGGGTAAGAAACGTTTTTGTTAATGTAAAATTGATCACTTAATTTTCATTATATATGTTGATATATTTCAATGCATGTTCATATTTGTCCAGGAATTAACCACCAATCGAGTCCTAACTATGCAGTTTTGCGAAGGTCTCAAGGTGATGATCTTGAACTTCCTAAACCAAATAATGTAAATTTCCAAAAATTTGCGATAGGAGAAAATGAGATCTTGAACATTTTCTTCACCCCTAGTGCTTATAGATTCCATTTTTTTGGGTTGCCAATGCGAATTGACTTTGCATTCTTATAAGTATGTTTTGCGTATGCTTTTCTCTCCTGCATGTGTTGTTTATCAATATTATAATTTTTTTTATAACATTCTACCAAATGGAGTTACCTTAGGTTTCAGGTTGATGATGTGAAATCTCTGAAGATTAGTAATATAAGTCCAGTTAAGGTTGGTAGCCTCTGTTTCTTTGGTGATTACTTCTTATATGAATTTAATCTTTGGCAATTTCTATTCTAGTTATGAAATCGGAGTATTGTTAGTTAAGAGATCCACTTGCCTCAACAACGTTTTGGTGGACACTGTAAATCCTGCAGACCACTTCAAAAGGATATTTTTTTCTGAAAGCAATACTAGTAGTAAAGTTTTCGTGTATTTTGGTAGGTTGCTAATGCATTGGTTGAAGTCTTTGCTGAAATGATATTCGTCCACGGATTCATACATGGAGATCCACATCCTGGCAACATACTAGTTTCTCCGCGAGGCAAAAATGGCTTCTCTTTAGGTATTGTCCCCGAGCATGATTCCGGAGTTGGCCTTCTACTAATTTTAGATAACAGTGAGCAAAACGATATGAATAGCCAGATATTTATTTGATATTTCTCGATGTAATGGTTTAATGGACAGTTCTGCTGGACCACGGGAACTGCAAGACATTGGATGAAGGATTTAGATGGGATTATTGCCAGTTGTGGAAGGCTCTGATTCTCCTGGACTCGAACAAAGTACAAGAAGTAGGTGAACACTTTGGGGTCGGCAAATATGCGAAATTCTTTCCTGTCATTTTCACTGGAAGAACTAGCAACAGGTATTGTTTCCGGCTCTGTTCCGTGGTAAACTCGTAGTTATAGTTATGTTATCATTCACACTATTTCTGACTCCAAGAATAGAATGTCCTGAAGCTGAAGTTGACAAAATTAGATCTGACATTCCTACTTTAGCGACAGATTTTTACCCTTCTATCAGTGCATCTGAGTTGCCAGTATCTGTATATTGATGGCTTATGCATGCTTTTTCCTCGTTTTCCCCCTCTTTCGGGTGGTAGCAAATCGGCTCTAGGAAAGGGAATGTCTATCCAAGAGAGGCAGCAACTGAAACAGGAGCTGAAACTTCTGACAATGGAAGATATAACATCATTCATGGAGTCTCTTCCGCCTGATTTTCTCGCTGTACTACGAACAGAGTACGAACCATCAATCATCATTTTTGATGAATCTTGGAAAATTTCGTCTCCCTAAGACATTGAACTTGATTTTTTTCGCTTTTCACAGCGGCCTCATACGTTCAATCACCTCCAAGTTGGGTGCTCCGCATCGGGTGAGGTTATTTGCATACGCCAAATATGCTTTATATGGGCTTGCTCGAAGGCCGGCATCTCAAACAGGTAACCAGAATTGAAAATACAAAAGTTTTCTTGAATTATAAGGATCCGGTTTGCTGTCAAATAAGGGTATTTCCAAACCGCATCTCGTCCTTCATAGTACTAGTCGATCTAAGAAAATTAAGTGTTTCCCTATGTGGAAAACACAACAAAAACATGAGGAGCCTCCCTGCTATTTATAGGCACGAGAACATGACACAGTAATCAAGGTTCGTGAGAATAGATCGAACTTCTCTGCCTGTAGCGGTTGTGAATCCGATTTCTTACTACTCGTTATATGGCAGACATGTTTTTTCGTACTAACTGTGGTCAACAATCCAGAATTGGCTGCAACATCGTCGATGTTATCGAGGTCGATAACGTACATGGGCTACCTCCGGTTCCGTCTTATTCTTGGTAAGGGACTTCCGTTTCGTCGAATGGTTGCTCATGTTTATGTGGAACTGAGGTTTAAAGCTTCACAAATTCGATTTCATTTTCTGGGTTTCAGAGTTGATGGATCTGTTTCAAGGGATCAATAGGCTGAAGCATTATGTTCACAGATTGTGGGAAAGAATAAAGAGTATTAGAGTCTCGAGAGTTACAGGCATGTCATGAAAAGCTCATCTATTATTCTGTGTATCCATGGATTTGGATATAGGATATGCATATATTACTATGTTTGGCATTTCGGTGTGGATTCAATTATTTTGGTTTAAGAAAATATACTCATCCGATTTTTATATTTCAATTTTCATGAGACTGTTTGTTTTCTATTGGAATTCGGTTTTTATTAATAAAACTTTTAAAAAAAAATTTGTTTTTCCAGTTACCTTTAAATTAAATCCTAGTTCAATTTTTTTTTTCAAGAGAAAGAAACTATATCTATTTTAATTTTATATTATATTCGATTTTGATACAATTATGTGATATTCAATTCAGATTGTTTTTTTCATAAAACCAAAATGGTAAGAGTAAAGGAGCTAAAAGAAGGACATGGACATGGAAATTGAAGTAAATAAAGTGGTCCTGAAAAATGAAATTATGGTAAAGTCATGGAAACATCACTTTGAGAAACAATTTCAATCTATGGATGGTTCTCTCTCTCTTTGTTTCCCTTCTTCCTTGCAAAGTTGCTCTCTTTTTATTCTTTTCCCAGACCAGAGAGAACCGCAGATTCAGGAGTAGTGTGAGTGAACCAAATGAGAATCTCACACTGAGTCTAAGCTTTGAGGCCAAGTCTTGCTTGGAGCTCATCAGCAACAGCATCAATGAACTCTTCTGTGTTAAAGTAATGCTCCCTTGTCAGCCTGAAAAACACAGTGCCCCCACATATGTAAGTACAAAAAATCGGAGACTTTAATCTTTGCATTACATGAGATGAGATGAGGTTTTTTATTAGGGAAACCCGAAAATTGGGTTCTGATTCGGGTATTAGCATGTGAGATAGATATTACCAGGACTGCCCGAATGAACAGTAAATCGACCTTTTTACCCTAGCTTTTAAAGAAGGGATATAAAAAATGCAAGGTTTTGAATGAAGTCTCTTGAAATTATGAGTTCGGGTTGGGATAATCCGAAAATCCGGACACTAGAGACAAACCAACCCCTAGTATATGAAAACATTTGAAGTTTTGTATTTGAACCTTAAGATATCTACGGATATTAGAAAATTATTACGGGTAGTATCTCATGAGTCCCGAAATGTTTGGATCCGGGGTTGGGTAACCCAAAAAATCTCGGATACCCGACCACACCTGCCCCTAGACTGATGGTAACCAATAAAGCAAGAAGGATTATTAAACTCACTTCGAGCCATGGATGATGAGCGAGAGATCTTTGGTCATCTTCCCAGATTCAACCGCTCCAACACAAGCAGCCTCCAGTTTCTCGGTGAAATCCAAGAGTCTCGGGTTCTCATCTAGCTTGGCCCTGTTCACAAATAGTTGGATTCCACTCATAATCGATCAATCCGCTACACACAGATAAAGGGCATGGATTTTCTTTTCTTTTCTCTTTAGGGTTTTTACCTGTGTGCAAGTCCACGGGTCCAAGCAAAGATGGATGCAATGCTGTTTGTGCTGGTCTCACCTCCTTTCTGGTGAACCCTGTAGTGACGGGTTACTGTACCATGAGCTGCTTCAGCTTCAATGGTCTTGCCATCAGGGCACACCTAAGCCAAAATACATAATGTCGATGATCATTTAGTCAGGATCGAGTCATCGAGAGGAGAACTCTGGGAAAGAAACATAGAAAAGATGGTCATTATCGTTGAAGATGTAAGAATTACCAGCACAGATGTCATTAGTCCAAGTGATCCGAATCCTACAGACATAAGGACATAACAGATACAATTAGCTAACCCCCCGAAAATCAATAATTTTTTAATCAAATCAAACTGGTCATGAGACAAAGGAGCTATAATACATACCACAAACGCTTATTGAAAAAAATATATGTGTACGGTAAATCACACAAACCTTGGGCCAAGAAATCACTCTGGACATCACCATCATAGTTCTTGCATGCCCACACATAGCCTCCCTCACTCTTAAGAGCATAAGCCACCATATCATCAATGAGACGGTGTTCATACCTATCCAATTTAATCGCTCACGTTATAAAGTAAATAATGAACTAATGAAGTATGATGATTTTCCACCGATCACGTTATAAAGTAAATAATGAAGTATGATCATATTCCAAGGTAAAAAAAAAGCAGACATCAACTACCATATTCCAGCTGCCTCGAACTTTGATTTCCACTTGGCTTCATAGACTTCTTGGAAGATGTCCTTGAACCTTTATCAAGAAGGAAAAGAAACCATAGAAATCAAATGTTAATACAAGAAGAGAAACTGACTCATAAACCAAAACCAAGACCTTTCGACATTGACAGCGATATGGATGAACCAAGAACATACCTTCCATCGTATTTCTTAAGAATAGTGTTCTTTGTGCTGAGATAAAGTGGCCACTTCTTCTCGTAAGCGGTGTTCATAGATGCCTCGGCAAAAGCACGGATGGACTGCATTAACAAGTTTATATAAATTACTTGGAGGCTGAGCACCACAAGAACAAGTAATTGACTCTATTTGGAAGATAAAATTAAGTAAGATAATACCTCATCGGTGTTGTACATGGCCAAAGAAACACCCCCTTCACCACTAAAATTGAATACTTCCATTTCTGTCTTCCCTTCTTTTCCCTCTGAAAATTGGAATGTATTACAATTTTACTTACAACACAATCAATTACTAAAGAAAAAATTAAAATAAAATTAAAATAAGAAATGGCAGCCTCCAAACCAGATAAGAAACCATAAGGGGGTAAGCTTACCAAAAATGAGCGTCAGTTTTCCAGGTCCCTTGATCACAGTGTCAGTGGCACGATATTGATCACCAAAAGCATGCCTTCCAATGCAAATGGGCTTTGTCCAACCTGGAGAAAAAAGAAAACTTATGATGAGATTGACTACAAGCAATAAAATTTTAATGCTACTAGCCTCATTGGCTATAACTACCTGGAACGAGTCGGGGAACATTTTTGCAGATGATTGGTTCTCTAAATACGGTCCCTGCAAACAAGGCAGGCTTGATGTAAGGTAACAGAGAAGGTTATCAGACAGGCTTTAAATTTTTAAATGCGTACTTCTTACCGTTAAGTATGTTCCTAATGGTCCCATTTGGACTTTTCCACATCTGCTTCAAGCCAAATTCCTTGACACGACCTTCATCTGTTGGCAAAAGAAAGTTTTTTTAGTACGGAAGAAATCAGAATAACAAACTCAAAGACATCGCAACAGGAATTGCCAAAAAATCAGTTGCTGGTGTATATATCCAGACAAACCTGGAGTGATAGTAGCACACTTAATTGCCACATTGTACCTGAACCGAATTGCAAAACTGAATGAATACAATACCCACACAAACAGTACAGCACAACTTCTGGACAAACACATCTAGAGAAGCTGATCTCCTCTTCCTCAGATAGATAATAAAAAAAATTTGCAATAAGATTTAGTTCAGTTACAACCAATGTATGCAGCTTCAAGTGCTTCCAACGCAGCAGTTAACAAAGCATGAAAAAAATAATGTAACAGAGAGAGCAAAGACAGAGCACTGATGCTAAAAGAAAGTAGAAACAGACAGTTGCGTGATTATATCAGAGGGAAAACCATAGAAGGATCAAACTTATACTTCAGGGTGGCTTCAGCACTTTCAACAGTGACTTTGTCATCTGTGGCGTCACGGTGAGGAAGACCCAGGTCAAAGTACTTGATGTCCAACTCCACGAAGGGCAAAATAAGCTGAAAACCCATTAAAGAATACACAAAAAATTACAGGCGAATCCATCTTGAACAGATGGGAGACTAATATACAAGGCACCAAAAACTGATTGATCGAATTGTATGCAGATCATTACCTTATCCTTGATGGACTTCCAGATAACACGAGTCATTTCATCACCTGCGCCATAGATCCAAGGAAGCACGGAAATGAGTAGAAAGAAACCAAGTTGGTATTACTATTAATCATATCTACAAGGAACAAAAACATGCATCCATAGCATTAACAACACTGATAAAGCAGCATCATTTCCAGATCCGCGATCCAGAAGAACTCAACATAGATTTGTCAAAACAGAGAAACCTTATCAGTCAACCCATAATCGAGCAATTATTTTACTGAATCCTCAACCATTTCTGATGATCAATAACAAAATCTCAGTCCAGAGCTAGATTACACGCAAAAACCCAAGTCCTACGCAAAAACCATCATGTTGCGCACCAAAAATGAACCAGAAATGGAAGAAAAACCAGATTACACATTCCCAAATGTAAGTCCCATCGAATCAGATTCAAAGGACGACGAGACTACGTTAAAAACTAGACAGAAAACGAAAAACCATCATCTCCAATGGATTGAAAAGCCCAAAAACGAAGAAATCCGAAGACAGAGAGAGGAAAGAGAAAGATCTCACCGTCCATCTCGACGATGGGATTGGCCACCTTGATCTTCTCAAACGCCATAGTGTTTCCCCTCCGGTTTCTGAGCGAGAACGGATTCAATCGATCGGATCGGATTCCTTCCCCAACCGCCAGCGATCGAAGCGCGAGAAGAATTTCCGGCGGAGAGAGAGAGATTCTCGTGAATGCAGAGAAGCTAAAAAAGAACAAATCGCTTAGCAGTAGGTGAAAAGCAGCAGCAGACGGGATTGACTTGTGATATTTGAAACTTTTTAAAATCTTCATTTTGACCCCTATATTCTTATTTATTTCCATTATTTGCTCTACATTATTCCCTGGTGGAATTTATTGGCGACTCTCTCTCTTTTTTTTTCATTGATAAAAAATCATTTTAGCATAATTATACATTAATAAAATCAACATAAAAAAATTCAGAATTTATTTAATTTAAATGTATTTATTTAAGCATTTTTTACCCTACATACTAACATAAAGCTCGCCACTTAAGTTTTATAATTTAAGATTGAGTAAATACATCAATATTGTAATATCTCGTGACATATAGAACTATATAGATTAATTTTAATTCTAATTTAATAAGATTTTGATAAGTTATTGCTAATTAAAATTACATAACTTCTTATAACTAATTTTACTGTAAAAATGAATAATGTAGTTTTGTTACTTTTGTATATAAAAAAAACAGAGCTTTGCTTCAAACAGAAAAAAAAACGTTTTTTGGGAGATTGGTAAAAGTCAACACGTCACGCTCACTTTGGAAACTCCGATGGTCCACGTAGATCGGTCTAATTCTCAAACCGAATTCCCCCCGCAAGAAATGGCGCACACCAACCAACTCAGCATATCTTTGTCTTTTATAGGGCTGGACATAATATCCAAAAAAATCGAATCGATCCGTATCCGAATCGAAAATTTGGATATCCGAAATTTGCAGATCGGATACAGATATTTATTTTGAAATATTTGTCAGATACGGATATCAAATTCGAATTATATGATATATTCGATTCGATCTGTACTAATTAATAATATTATTAAATATAAAAATAATTTGTTACAGAGATATAAAATGCTTTATATTTACATGTTTTGTAGGGATATTTAAAAAATATTTGACATATATTGAGATTTAAAATGTTTAATCTTTTGAATATTAATATTTATTATGTTTAATTTTTTGAATTTTGAACTTTCAATATATTTGTATATGATAGATTATGATTATATTTGTATTTGAATTGATTTAAAATATTTAAATTATGAATAATATTTAAATTAAATATTTTGTATAATTTATTTAAATTTGAATTAAATTTTTATAATTTTTTATGTCGGATACGGATATTTCAAATATCCACGATATTTACAGATATCTGAATTACAGATCGAATACGGATAATAAAATCGAGTATTTGTGCGGATCGGATACGGATACGGATATCTCAAAAATTACGGATATCCGATCCGTGCCCACCCTAGTCTTTTCCACTCAATTTCAAAAGTAATATTTTGTTTTTAGATTTTGTATTTCCATATATAAAACCACGATTTGAAAACTAATTGATCATATATTCTTAAAAAAACCAAAATTGTATTAAAATTTTAAGAAAAATTAAACCAAACCAAAACCAATAAAATTCAGAACGAACTAAGATGGAATAAATATGTTTCTAAATTAATCAAATGCATAACCTAAAAAATGAAGGCCTAATACCAAAGATATAGAAAGAAATATTTATGGGAGCAGCGGAGAGAGAACTATTGGATGATGGGAGCATAGGATTAGGAACTGGACTTTGCTTCTTTTTGTTAAAACCTGTCTTCCAACTTCTTTGGAACTGAGCATTTGGATATCAAATCCTCGAGAATCTTTGGCTTCTGTACGTAAGTGAATCATACATGTACGTATGTGTGTATATATATGTACCGTTTTGTGTTATTGTTGGGTTTTACATTATGGATCGTTAATAAGGGCATTATCTGAATCTTGGCTCTGTGTCGGCCTATGATCACAAAGGCCCATATGGTTTTTGTCTTTGGGTTCGATTTCGAAATTAAAGACATTGTTTTCTTTTTATTTTAATATATAAAATAATCCATTATTCGTGAAAGGTTCTTATAACGTGATACCTAATAAAGCATCATTTTATTTAGAAAAAAAAAACTTCATCCAGATCTTTATTTCAAGTTATATAGTTAGCAGTTTGCATGTGAGTCCACTTAACTATCTGCTGAAATTAATGTTTTGATTGGATAATAATTTATTTTACATAAATTTTAGGATTCAGATGCAATTTTTGTAACGAATTCTCTCTCCAAGGGCGACCGCGATTGCGAAATCGCCAAACCCTAGCACAACTCCGCCCCTGACCGGTCGCCATCGGCCGGACTCCCGAAAACCCCCGCCGGCCACTACCGGCTGGGCAAAAACTCTCTCTCTTCATTCTCTCACCATGGCTCCTAAGCCGAGAGCTCTCGTACGTCGGCCCATGTCCGACCGGACTCCCGAAAACCCCCCCCGGCCACTACCGGCTGGGCAAAAACTCTCTCTCTTCATTCTCTCACCATGGCTCCTAAGCCGAGAGCTCTCGTACGTCGGCCCATGTCCGATGTTTGTATTAAGTTGGAACCCATACCACTGCCCCAAAAAGCCACATGGGTCTCTACGAGGAATCTTCCACACTCTCTACAATTACGACTGCTTAAACCGAATAGCCACCTCTATTGGCAGGCCGATGTATCTTGATCGAACCACTGCGGCTAAAGAAAACCTGTCTCTGGCAAGAATCTATGTTGAGGTCAATCTTCTCCTCCTTCCACCATTGCAATCAAGCAGCTAGATGGTGAGGAACAATATGTGAAGGTCCATTATGAATTGGTTTCCCCCACGATGCGATACCTGCAGCGAGGTTGGGCATTATTCTCACCATTGCCCTAAGAATCCCGGAATAAAGAGGCCTGAAAAACCCTCTCGGAGAAGAGGTCGATCTCCGCTGGCTGAGGATACACACGATCACTTCCCTCGCAAGGGCAACCCAGCTCTAACACCACTTCACCCCCACCCCTAACACCTCAGCCTGATATAAATCCCCCCTTCTCTATTGTCGCCCCCTAACCCCAATCCTAGCGTACCTGACCAAACTCAACAACCCAATGAACCACCGCAATCATCGGTTGTCCCCTCGAAAGCTGCTACCTCAGGCCAGCTTTCACTTGGATGATGATGGTTTTTCCCTTGTCAAAACTAGAGGCAAGGGTCGGGGCAGTAATCACCGAGTTCCCATGGGCCGTTCAGTTGGAATGTTAGAGGATTGAATATGATACAACTATAGTTTAAATGAATTCGATTAAAAAAAATTAAATATAATTTTTAAATTAAATTAATTGGTTTCCAATCAGTCTATAAAAAGTGATCTAATTTTTTTCAAAATAATGGATTTTAAAAAATAAAAATATTTTTTAATAAAATCGAAAATGAACATATATAATTTTTGTAAAATAAAAATTAAATAAACCAACTTTATAAATATATATATATATATATATATATATATATATATATAAACCCTGAACTTTGAACTTGAGTGCTATGGTCACAAGATAGGAGACTGCTCATGGAAACTTTATTGCTTTTTGGCAGTTTCACGAGATCGTTTACTCATTAGTCACGTGTCTGTCTCCATATCATTTCACGGTTTAATAAACAATTGGTTAGTTTTCGTTACTAAAATAAAATCCATTATAATTATAATATAATACTAATTCTAAATAATACAACTTAGTATAATAGAAAGACATTATTCCTAAAATATTATCATTAATATTGTTATGATTTATCATATATATTATCTCTAGAATATTCTATTGTATTTTATTATATATTAAGATATATTCTTGCGATCATTATAATAGTAAAATATTTTGTCTATTAAGTGGTGTGGGTGCGTTTTTATTTTACTTTCAAAATATTAAAATAAAAAAATTAAGTAAATATATGCATTTTTTTTAAAACTGGTGGCATTTAGCAGATTTACTTAGTTGGTGCTTTTACAAACTGCACAATGTTAACCAATTAACTAATCAAATAGGTTATGTTTATAATTGGCTAATTATTCGAAACGCAAATGTTTTACTTTGATTTGATCTTTTAACCACGGCTATGTTACAGAATGTTATTCTTAAGTTAGTAAAAATTTTAATTGAATCATTTCAAATAAGGTACCATTTTGTTGGAATATTTACACATGAATTCTGATAGTAATTATATAAATATTTTATAGATTTATTTAAAAAAAAATGATAATTTTTCATGTATTTTTGTTAAGTGGTATAATCATTTTCTCAAAGTTGTAATTTGAGAAAAAGATGGCGCACATGTATTTCCGCAATTGTGGTCCTTTATATTTTTGCTGCATTTTATGGGAAAATTTCCTTTAAAATGAATAACCAAATGGCTATTTTTATGAGGAAATTGCGCTGAAAGCGAAAGTGGAGAACCAAATGGCTATTTATGGGATCACGTTCGTAGATCACACTATAATGGCATTATATATATATATTATTTAAAGATGTCGTTGAGATAGACAAAATATCCAAAATACCCTTTTTATACTAAAACTGCTTTTACACATACTTTTTTCCAGTTGTGATCTTGTGACCACAATAATTGTATGGTCACATAATGGTCACATTAGTCACGTTAAATTTTTGATAATTTTACCAAATATGTAAGGTGTGACCATGGTGATTTGATGTAATCACCATAAATTTAACGTTATGACTAATGTGACTATCATGTGACCATATCTGAATTCTAGTTACAAGGTCACGACTGGAAAAAGATATGTGGAGAAGTAGTTTTAGCAAAAGGAGAGTATTTTGGATAATAACTCGTTTAGATATCATGCAATATGTATAATTTCAAATTGTTCTTAGAATTCGATTGCAATAATAGTATAATACCTTGCACCCAATTTTCAGAACAAATTCTAGATTTTGTGAAATTAATGGTCTTCCTTTCAAAAATAATGTATATAATGTGAATACTAAATAAATATGGAATACTAACATATATGTAATATATATATATATATATATATATATATATGTATATATAAATGGGGTGCACGTGGACGTGGGTGTAGGGGAATGATGGGTTACGACATAAATTCACAAGACACCAAACCACTAACTGTTGATTCACAAAATGACGACACCACACTCGTAATAGTAATAACGTGCTTCCTTCACGGGTCCTCTCCCATCTTCTTTTCTTTATTATTATTGTTTATCAATATTATATTATATTCCGAATTTACTTGCACATTCACACTTGAGAGATTGGTCTTACCATTAAATAGTTTTTTTTATATAAAAATAGGTTGAAACTCGGATTTATTGACAAAAAAATTATAATTGATGAAATTGTTCATTCACGAGTAATTTTGTGGATTAATATGGGTAATTAACGGTGCTAAGAACAATTACATAAAAACGGCACTAGGAATGAATTAGTGCAAATACAGTGATGGTTCGATTATAATAATGTATAAATTTATTAGCTAATAATAATGAAAAAAAATCCATCTGATTCCAAAATTTTTAAAAGTCAGAATAAAAACAAAAGGTACATTCCAATGGAATTTTAGTGCATTAAAAATAATTCGCATGGCAATCCCACATCTCTCTCTCTCTCTGCTCAAGTTATCTTGAAATCCAAAATATAACTTGAGGGTGAAAACAAAGAAAACCCCATCTAAATTCAAAGGGTTTTAGATTGGATTTGTCTTTTTATCCATAGCCAAATAACCACATACACACACACACATATATGTGATGGCGATGATGATGATGATGATGATGATGTGTTCATATTCATCATCATGGAGAGTGGTGATATGGGCTATGATGCTGTGGGGTGGGAGCATGGTGACAAGGGAAGCAAGTGGAGCTTCGAGCAATGTAAAGGTTGGAAGCATATCAAAGGTGGAAGAGGCGGATAATTTCCACATATATTACGGTCAAACCTTCAAAGTCATCAAGAACGCCATTGATGGCAAAAGCTACCTTCTCATCCAGGTTCTCTCTCTCTCTCTCTCTCTCTCTCTCTCTCTCTCTCTCTCTCTCTCTCTCTCTCTCCTTTCATCTCCGTTTCAGATTTTTTTTTTTTTTTTTTGATAAAAAGTCATAGAATATGTTGTTTGACATTTGTGTAGAACACTTCAAGAATGGCGGTCCGGACAAAGTATTGCACTGCGAGGATCAAATCTTTTGTCATTCCATTGATCGATTACTCTGTCGACACTCTGTCTTCTCAAGGTACCTTCTTCTGATGATGATGGTGATGGTGATGGTGATGATGATGATGGTGATATCTGTTTCTATGTTTTGCAGGAGCCTTCCCTGTGTCCTTTTTTGAGGTAATAATACTTTGCTCTGTGTTTTTTTTTCTGTCCGATGAGATGTATCATGTAATCACTTGATATTTAGGACCGGAGTTAGATTTGCTTTTTAAAAAAAAAAATTAATCAAATTTACATAATTTCGAAATTTGATTAAAGTATTTACTCAAAAAACTGAATTTGTAGTTGCAGGAGTGGATGGTTATAGACAAAATTTCTCATACGTATGATAATTTACGCATTTTCTATTTCACATGTAAAAAAATAAAAATAAAATTTATATCACGTAATTATCTAAGGCGTGTGACATTATTGAATAGCTGCTGGGAATACTGGGGAGCATGAGAGGGATAACATCGAAGGAAGTGGCCTCTGAATGCGTGGTGAGGATGTGGGAGGAAGGACACGTGTCGGTCGTGGAGCGGGATCAGATCTCTCAGTTCGCAGCCCACTTCGTAAGCGACACTGAGCAGCCTCAGTCCTGCAACTTCGCTAACTTCGTTCCTCTCAGCGAGGCTTCCCCCCTTCAGGTCCTCCCTTTTTTTCCCCATTTTTTGTTGGTAACAACTGAATCCTCGGCCTCAGAAAGAGGGTTTCGGTCTTCGTTTCTGGCAGCGGGCGGAGTGGATCAAGTTTCTTGGAGCTTTTTCCAATCTCGAAACCCGGGCTAACCAAGTCTACGACGCGGTGAGCGTTTTGAGTTTAGGGTTTAGGGTTTGGCATTTGGGGTTCTGAGGGTTAGCTCTTAATGCAGGTTAAGGCAAGCTACACTTGCTTGTCTCAAATGGCATCGAACAAGACGAAAACTTTCAAACCCATCGTTGCGTGGATGCAATACGATGACAACGTGCGTAAAAACGCCTCGGACCATAGCCATCGTTTTCGGAAATGTTTCTTGGGTTTTAGACACGTTTTAACATTATCTTTCTTTCTCGATCAAAGACAGTTTTGTTTAAATGTTTTCTCTCCTTGTAGGGAGTCTGGTCTTTTACGAAGGAACCGTATAAGTTGAAGGTACATCATTTCTCTAGTTCTTCATTTGGACATTCTGAAAACGTGTCCCGAACTCAATCGAACGTAAAAAATGTGCAATTTGGACAGTACGTGGAAGACGCGGGTGGAGAAAACATCGATAACTCGATCAATAAAATGTCTTACAATGTCTCGGACAGTGATGATTTGGAGTCGTTACACGCGATCTTATGCGTAAGATCATCTTTTTCATTCACATTCATTAAGCTATTTTTGATTCAATTCTTGTGACATTTGTCTGATGAGAGCTTTCTTCGAACTTTATATGACAGACTGTGGATGTAGTGATTGATGAAACGATAACGTCTGATCCTCAGAATTACACAGAGACGGCGTTTCTTCGGAACATTAACATCGAGGACTGTTCTTGTTTCTCGTTTCTTTCAAATCAAAGCATCTGGAGATACGATAAACGTGTCGGAAATGGAACCGTTCTTGGTAACTCATAAGTCTGAAAAACCTTACATCTTTTCATCGATCATTCAATAAGTTTTATGAATGTGAAACTAACGTTTCGAGGATGCGTAGATTGGTACGATGGGGCGATCTCACAGCCAAATCGGGTACTGGGCGACATCGTGGAAGCTCTTTTTCCAACAGGAAACTACACAACCTCCTACTTTAGAAACATTGCCAAGGTGAACATAAATCTACATCCAAAGAATGTGGTTGTGGAGTAAAATCTTTCCATTAGGACTATGATATATGGGTTTTGGCACGGGTATTGTATTCGATATTCCGAGTACCTGACTCTGAATCCATCTTTCTCGTGATCCGTCGTTGGACACGAACCATTCAGATACCTGAACACTGGATACCTGTGGGATGTCCCAAAAATTCGGGTATCCGCAGATTATCCAGTAGTCGAGGACGTGAAACCGAAGGCGAGATTGAGATAGATACCGATGGGGAGAGAGAGAGAAACTAGGGGTTGAGGCTAGGAAGGGATAGAGGTGAGGGGGTAAGCGGACGATGAGTACCCGCGGGTATAGGCAGTCGGATACCCGGATCCGAAAATCGGGTTTCCATCCCGAATTCGTCCTGTCACTAGATGAGTGTCCGATTTTCGAGTCCTCGCTCGCACAGATCTAATTGGGTACCCGATTTTCGAGTCCTAGTAATATATATCGGCTTTGATCGTAAAAACGCTAATGTATTGATCGGATTCTGACGTCACGAACTCGGTGGCAGGGAGAAGGAGTCGTAAGAAATGGTTCATCGATCATGGAATATTTCCTTGGAAAGTAATGCAGGTCAAGGTTCTCAGTTGTTCAAAAGGGCAAGATACTGAAAAAAAAATATGTGACAATAAGATTATTGAACGTGCACTCAGGTCGTTCACTAAAGCCAGCTCGTAAATGGAAAGTATATATATATATATATGTATATCCTCCTACTTTTGAATTGAGAAGAGATTTATTGGAGCACCTATGGTTCAGGCGTATATCAACGTCTTTTGCTAGTGTTTGTGGATGAACCAACTCTCCATACATTGAATTACCATTATTGTTTGTTATTGTTATTACGGATTCGAGTTTTCGCAACATTTAAGTGCTGAATTCATTGGTAAAACATTTTACTGTTCGGCCGTAACTTATATTATCAAATAGATGGGGCAGTGTAATAAACTAACATTGTCATTATTTTGTTTCGGTGCGAGAAATATAGTAACGATCCTTTTATGCTGGATATTGAATTCGAGTTCAATATTAATACTTTAATAATAAATTATAACAGATAATGTCAAAACAATATCAAGAATATTTATAGAAATTGAATCTAAATAGACAATTGAAGATTGTCTTTGACACTTAAGCAAACGGTCTCGGCGTTTGCGTTTGCGTTTGCGTTTGCGGTTCGAAGTTAAAATATTTATGATTTAGCGTATACATATATTATTTTTTATAATAAAAGGATAGCTTAAATGGTTATTGATTTATAATTTATCCTCACGTGAAAATAAATATATATGATCCAATGGTTGAAAGTAATCTTTAACGTCTTGAATTCGATTTCACGGGAGAGATGTAATTTTTGGATCAAAATGGTCTATATATAAAGGCTGGTCCTACACTTAGGGTGAATGTAATCGGGGCGAAAGCTCGGAGAAGGTCTGTGGAAAAAAAAAATATATGTATTCCTACGTTAACCAAAAAAAAATATGTATTCATATTTAATAATTGAAAGCAGTGTTTGGGCTTTAAAATTGTTATTGGGCCTACAAATGTAATCTAAACCATATAATATTGTAATGCCTCTTTACCTCTTTGGTTCTCTTGTTCCAGTTTTAGGGTTTTTGCTGTTTTTGTCTCGCTTTCTCTACCTCTGCAGAAGAACGTCAAACCCTAACCATGGCGGCGCAACCAGCGGTGGAATCCGTCCAATGCTTCGGACGGAAGAAGACGGCGGTGGCAGTGACATACTGCAAGCGTGGCTCCGGCCTTATCAAGATCAATGGTTGTCCGATCGAGCTTATCCAACCGGAGATTCTCCGTTTCAAGGTCTTCGAGCCGATCCTCCTCCTTGGACGACACCGTTTCGCCGGAGTCGACATGAGGATCCGCGTCAAAGGTGGTGGTCACACCTCGCAGATCTACGCGATCAGACAGAGCATCGCCAAGGCTTTGGTGGCGTTTTACCAGAAATATGTGGATGAGCAGTCGAAGAAGGAGATTAAGGACATCCTCGTGAGGTACGACAGGACATTGCTTGTTGCTGATCCTAGGCGGTGTGAGCCCAAGAAGTTCGGTGGTCGTGGTGCTCGTGCCAGATTCCAGAAGAGTTACCGTTGAAAACAAAAAAGGTTCTGTGTTTTATTTTGGATATTTGGTACTTATTTTCTATGCTTACCAGTATGTTTTAAGATCTTGTCTACTTAAAGTTCGAGACTTGGATGGTTGCTTTTGGGTTATCTAAGACTTTTTTTTTCTTTGGATGCTATAATCTTAGCTTGAGTTTCGAATTTGTGGTTCCAGTGATAATTATGGTTCTTGGCTGTTCTAGTTTCTGAGTTTCTTTAGGACTATGTTCGATTTCCTTCACACTGTTCCAAAAGTCGAATTGGGGTTCGAGGATTTTGAACGTTGGATGCCATGGCTTTGGGTTCAGATGTTAGATGCTGACATATTGTGTTGGGTTTGGCTATTTTCTGATCCATAAATTAGCTAAGGAGTGAAAAAGGTTGGAACTTTTGTGTGAGATTAGATTTGGGAAGTTTGTATGTTTTCTGTTCCAAATTGGAAAAGCTTTATAGGTTTTTGTCTGTCTATGTAAACCTGCTGGGTGAAATCTATTAGGTTACTATGTTTCAGCCCTTCTTCAATTAGGGAGAGGTGGTGGGATGGTTGTTGGCATTATAGTTCCGGGGAAGCCTAGTTTTCTCCTGTACGAGGTTAGACTTTTCCTTTCGTGTCGATCCCTTGTGTTATGTCGGCGATATCGGATCTTATGTTTAGTGTGTCTCCATAAATTAGCAAGGAGTAGAGAAAAAACACGAGAGAAATCGGATTGTAGAAATTGTGTTTGTTCATTGTTGCAATGAGTTTGTCATTTGCTTGTCTTCGTTTTATTGTTCTTGTCGATAGTTGAGGCTGCTTGATGCCAACCAGGGGTTGATATGGGTTAGGTACCCGAGTTTTCCAGTGTATCCGACTTGGGCCTTGCTCCCAGTGGATTTTATTGGTCGGACTATCTGACTTCGATTTTGTAAGGGTCGGGTATCTGAGCTTTAGATATGTGAGATGTGTGGAAAGCTTGGGTGCCCACATGATACCTGCTGCCGAGGCTAAATGCGAGAGGAGATGGTGAGGCGAGAGAAGAGAGAGTCAAGGTAGAGGAGGCTCGCTTTCGCCCGACTTCGCTTCTCTCTCGTGTCTTGTCCTCTTGTTCCCTCGTGTCCCCGTGCCTTGTCGTAGGCTCACGTTCTGTTCTCTTTTCTCTTCGGGTTTGTGTTATTCGATACAGTTAATTACCGGTTGAAACCCGTATCCGAATTTGGAGGTCGGATTCTTGCTGTCAATGAATTTATATTCGTCTTTTTTTTTGTTAGTATCCAAAGTTTTAGATGTCTGGCTCGTGGGTTATGGACCGGTACTCGCAATCTCGGGTTCATCACGGCACGCGACCCCTGCTGCCAGCCAATGTTTATAATCTTGGGTTCATCACGTGACCCCTACTGCCAATGTTTGGTCATTTGCTTATTGATACAAATTGTTTGATTTGGGCATAATATCGAAAAAAACCGAATCATTCGTATTCAAACCAAAAATTTGGATATCCGGAGTTTACGGATCGGATATGGATATTAGTTTTAAAATATTTGTCGGATACAGATCGGATATGAATATTAAAATAGAATTATCCGACATATTCGATCGGATCCGTACTTTTTAATAATATTAATAATATGAGTAATTTGGTAATTATTTTATATTTAGGGATAACTTTGTAAAAACCAAAAGATATCATAGGATTTTTTGTTTCTCTCTTTTGTCCGTGAGCATTCTTTCTCATCCTCCTCTTCTCTCTCCCTCACACACCCAGTCCGTCATTGATTCTTCAAGTCTCTACGCAAAGCTATTTCTCCTCCTCTCTCTCTCTCTCTTCTCTCTCATAGTTTGCCATTTTTGTTGATTCTTCAAGTCTATCAAAAGCTCGTTCTCCTCCTCCTCTCTCTCTCTCTCCCCCCTCTTTCTATCATAGTCTGTCATTCTTTTTTATTCCTTAGACCTCTACCAAAAATCCCTCTCCTTTTGGTTTATATTATATTTTGATTTTTTTTCCATAGTAACTCAATATATAGGGAGATTTATGATCTTAATCTTTTGAATTTACATTTTGAATATGTTTGTAAATTTTAAATATGGTCGTGTGTGATCAATTGTATTTGAATATTTTAAACTTTGAATATTATTTGTATCTGATAAATTATATATTGTATTTATATTTACGTAGTTTTTATAATTTTATTTATCATATTTGTTATTTTTTGTATCGGATACGAATATTTGTAAATATCCGTGATTTTTACGGATATTCGAAATTACGGATATCCGAAAATTATGGATCGGATACGGATAATAAAATTTAATATTTGTACGGATCGAATACGGATATCGGAAAAATTCCGGATATCCAATCCGTGTCCACCCCTAACTTTAGTTCGCCTAATATAGGTACCAAAAAAAAGTCTAAAAGAGTACACATATTATTACATAAACTCAGAGTCTGCTTCGTTTGCTTTGCAATGCGAAGCAGAACAGCATCGTCTTAAATTTTAAAAACCAAAAAGGGGCAAAACATGAAACTTGTTCACATTCTTGAGATCTGAAGAGGGAAAGAAGTGGTTTCGAGGATGTCGTTTGGAATAAGAGAGAGCAGTCGGCGTTTTTCGCAAGAACCGAGTTTTTCGAGCAGATACCTTTGGCAGGTTCGAGCAGCGTCGACGCCTGCCAAGAAAGCTCCGTGCACCGATCCCTGGTGTTCCAAATTGACGGCCTCTCCCCCAAAGAATAGGTTCCCCACTGGCTCTCCGAGCCTCTCGTACAGATCCTCTGCCATTCCTACTACGTCGTATGCGTAGCAACCTAACGTATTCGGGTCTGTTCCCCACCTCGTCACTACGTACTGCACCTGTTTTTGCGTCCGAACCAAGAGCAGAAATGTGTTATTTTCGGAAAATCTCGAGGTAAATGATTGGGGCAAAAAAAAATCGAAATTTGGGTTCCAAACGACATGAAATCGGGGTATAAGGTGGGGAAAACCCAAAAAAAGGGCATTATCCATTGATACCCAAATAAACAGTAAAATGACATTTTTATCTCTAGATTTTATAGAAATTTAAATTCGAATATAGCCGAAAATTATCTAAGATATTCAACTTTCGAATATCCAATCCAAACGGATCCGATATTCGGTAAGATCTTATGAGACCTGAAAAGTTCAGGTTCGGATTTGGATAACTCGAAAATTTCGAATATTTGACTCATATTCACCCCAGAATGATGGAAATGCATGCTTACCGGGACAGGTGCATTGGGGAACATTTTCTTGAGTTGTAACATTACAAAATTTGCGGTAGACTCGTCTGACAGCTTCTCCAGATCCTTAGCCAAGCTTCCTGCAGCCATATATACGAGAACCTGATGGCCAGTTGCCTTGTGAAGGTTCAGGAAGTAGCCGCACGCCTTGGAAGTTGGGGCGACCATTCCCAAGAACTCGACGTTGGGCCAAAACACAGTGTCGAATCGCAAGGCGATCTTGTTTTCGCATCCAACACCGAGATCCGATATCGCAGAAGCTTTCCGATGCGGGAGCTCGGGTTCGAACTGAATCAAATTCGCCTTGAGAACACCGATAGGAACCGTGATAATAGCAGAATCGACGACGAATTCGGTTCCACCTTCCACTGTGACTGTCACCTTGTTAGATGTTCTTGATACTTTAGTAACCCTGTGAAAAACAACCGACAAATATTACTGAACTTAGTTGAAATGATCAGAGCGGGTCAAAACAAAATCCAATATAAACTGAACGAAAAGAGCATTTTGTAAGCAAACGATCCAGAAATGGTTCATCGATCATGGAATATTTCCTTGGAAAGTAATGCAGGTCAAGGTTCTCAGTTGTTCAAAAGGGCAAGATACTGAAAAAAAAATATGTGACAATAAGATTATTGAACGTGCACTCAGGTCGTTCACTAAAGCCAGCTCGTAAATGGAAAGTATATATATATATATATGTATATCCTCCTACTTTTGAATTGAGAAGAGATTTATTGGAGCACCTATGGTTCAGGCGTATATCAACGTCTTTTGCTAGTGTTCTGATCACCGGTTCATAACCCTGCACCATTAGGCCATGACCACCTGAAAGGCATTCGTCCTGCATTTCAAAGAATCATTTGAGCTTTTCTCGCTCTCTAACGCATGAAACAATACGGTACACTCCATTTTCTTTGCATAATTGTTTTCTAAAAACCAAGAATCATTCCAATAATAAGGAATATCAAACTAATTTCTCACACAGGGTTCTCTCAACGGTTGACAGTTAGAATACGAGGATTCAAGAATCTAGCAACATAAAATATAACTGAAACGAGCAGAACCCGTGAAGATTATGTAAGAGGAGATTTACTTGCCTGATCCCAGCATCTTAATGATATCAAATCTGAATCAACAGCAAACCATGCTTCCATCCTACATATGTACCACTGCAAGACTTCGTATGCGATCCCTTCTTGCCTTCAAAGATTAGGAGAAGGTACATATAAGATATTAACAGGTAATGAAACTACCGATGTTAATTCATTCATCAGCTCCTGCAGTTAAATATACCTTAGCTCTGGATGTCTATCCAACGCGATTGTTATTGCTTGACGAACTGACATGTCATCGGCACTTTCATCCCTTATTTCTTCCGTCTGGAGGAACAGACAAGAGATAAGCAGATGCCATAACGCCAGCCAATGTAATTAGTTATTTTCGATCAAGACACACACTGCAAAAGACCACCTTTTTGAGAATTCTCTTGAACAAGTCTCCAACTTCTGTGACCAATTGCGGCGAGACTTTATGCCCATGTGTGTCGTAAAGCGCATAACTGAAAAACCAGCACCATGATGTCGGTAATAAAAAACAGGCATTCTGTGAACTACAATTCTTGAAATTGGCAAATAAGAAATAACAGAGAAGTTTAGTCAGGAAAGCCTTACCTTTCTAAATCGTGATCATACAAGACAGAGTCATCACCACTAGTGCGATATAATGTAAGCCCTAAACGGCGAATTATTGGAGCCAGAGGATTCTCGTTACAGACTCCATGTAACCTGGACAACATCAGCACATATCAACTTTACTCCTGTGAGTAGAATTCGCTATTTTCAAGGACAAAACAATTTTAAAAAATAAAGTATTTTGCAATTCACACGCAACACATATATTGAATATCTTGTTCTTTCTTTCCTTGGAATATAGGAGACGGGTACATCCAACCTAACAGTATATATTGAATACTCAAGATCTCTCTAACAAAAGAATCATTTACAAGAAGAAGAGAAAAAACCAAGAACTAAACAACCAAACAAACTCACCATGAAGCTCCCAAATCGACTGGACAGCCAAATGAATAATCCGTATGGATGCGACCACCAATCCTATCCCGTGATTCAAGAACAGTCACCTACACAGACAACCATTCTTTTAGAAATTGTCAAATATGGAATGTAACTCTACAGTTCACATGCTTTGATCCCAAAAGCTAACATATCATCACCTTAAAAGATGCATCCGAGAGAGTCCGAGCAGCAGCAAGACCTGATATCCCACTGCCGATCACGATAACTGAAGGCTGAATATTGTTCTGCCTCTGAACGAGAGGGGTAATTGTACCTGGTAGATGATCACAATTACAAGTAGTTTTTTTTTTTCCTTCAAAACAATGAAACACAACTGAAAACATGATAAATTCTACAATTTTCTCCTTTCAAACTTCATTCAACAACATTTTACATATAAACCAGAGCATTCCTTTCTACAAATTTTGACCAAATCCTTTTGAATCCCATTCAAATGGAACTGTCTTAAGCAGCAGTTGTATCCTTAATTCATTGAAACTTACCCCACAGCTATAGCAAATATGTAGGAACCGACACATCATAATACATTATCAAGATACATAGAGAGAGGTACATGTATAATATCTAGCATTACGTTGGAACATTGTACCAGCAGGAAAACCCCCATATTATCCAAGATGGATTTGTTCAAATCTTCGAAGCACAATTCAAACGTTGTCAGAACAGGAATCGATGACATCAAAAGATTGATTAGGTCGCAATTACCGTCACGAAGATCATCAGAAAGAGGAACCTTCGTATCCATTCAAGCAATTCAACGACAGAACACGCCGGCGAAGAATCTATCTGAGAAGAGGAGCGGAGAAAAAACAAAAAATACGCCCGCACACGAAACTGGGAATGAATCTGAGCGAATCGACCGAAGGAATGATGAAGAATGAAGAAGAATAGACCGGCGGCGAATCAACGGAGATTGGAGGAGCAGCGAAGCTTAACGAACCAACTCATCGTTGAAACTCACGACGGAATTCATCAATGGCAACGATTCGAGGAAGAATCTGGCACGGAGACGACGATTTGTACGATAAGCAGAGCAATTCGACTCGATCCCGGAGATCTCACAGCTGCGTGATCGGAGCATTTTTTTTTTCTTTTTGTTGTCTTCTTCTTCTTCTACATGTAACGTAGAGGAAGGCTTTTTGGCAACCAACCCGCGTCAATCTGCGTGGGCGATACCCCTTTTATATTGCGAGTTATCGCCGACTAAGATCTTTTGCAGGATATATAAAATGACAGTTTTACCCCTCCGCGATAATTTCTGTGTTCTAACGGGAAGACTTCAAAAAAGGACTTTCGTCTTGTAAATTTGACCTTTTTTGCTTTTTACTCTTTTTTTGATAATCCAATTTAATAAATTATGGGATATTTTTTCCAAAAGAAAATAGTTTGAATTGATTTCTTCCAAATAAAAATAGAAAACATGAATATGATTAAGCAAGAGGTAAGTGTGTTTCTTTTGAAATATTATATTGAGCAATCTACAGATATTTAGGGGGGAGAGAATACAAAATGCCAAATAAAAATATAAAATTGGGGTGAATGATTGGAATGAAATATTAAAATATATAATGAGGGAAGTGGATACACATCAGCCTAATCTAATTTCACATGCAATTGGCTAATAAATATGCCTGAGAGATGTTGTTACAAATTTGAATGGCCACCTCACACTCTCTGTATTTTCCCACTTTGATGGCTATTTTTTTTAATTAATGAATCTCGTTTTCTGTAATTTAAATTTATACTGTTAGCCGTGAGGTATCTTTATTCAAATTAAAATTCATTGAAAAACTTATTAAGTGATTATAGAATTATATTTCTCTTAATATCAGGAGACTTAAATTATAATTTGGTGATTGTTTCTTCATAGTGTAGAGATGAAGAATGTGAATTGGGAGAATTCTCATCCCATTTGGTAAGATGATAACCCCTTCCTACACAAAAGTGAGGGATTCGATTTCTTCTGGTTTTAAGTTTTTTCTGAGTCGGTCAATTTCGACTGATTTACCTGTTCGGTGTGGTTTGTCGGTTGTTGCGTTGAGCCGTTAGATTTACCGTCCACGATACCGTGTCGTTCGCCCGATCTTCTAGGTTGTGAGGCGTTGCGAAGTCTGATCTAAAGGGTCGAGGGCGGTTCCCATTATTATAAAAAAATGTGAACCGGGAATTTGCTCAATGCACAATTTTGTATCGTTTGGAAATCATGATCGTTTTTAAAATAGTATATAATTATGGATGCAATAAAAAATGGCGATTTTTTTTTTGGGTATTTCTTTGTACGACCCCGTTTTGCTTGTAAAGATTAATTTATTTTTTTCTTCTTTTACAATGAAATAAAAAAGTCTCGAAATTCACGATTGCAGAAAGCAAATTCAAACAAATACATAAAAGAGAAATGGGTGTTTGTGGGATCAAATTGTACAAAGAGAAGCTGTGTTTTGGTCTCTAAATTATATATATATATATATATATATATATATATATTATTGTATGGTGGGTGTGGAGAGGAAGAGAGAGTGGCAAGTGGGTGGGGTATTTTGTAATGAACCCATTGTCAGACCAATTGAATCACATCGACACTGCTTGGAATTGTCACTTTGCTGACAATGGGAATACCCAAAAGGGGGAGAATATTCCCAAACGGCATTATTTTTAGTATTGGGATATTTTTCCACTAACAAAATTAATAGAAAAATATGTTAGATTTGTTATTTATGATGTGAATTTATATATAAAGTACTAAATATAATTGATTAACCAAGTATACAATGTATTATTATATATGTATGTCTCATCATAATATGTAATCACACATTATTTAATGTGTATTCAATGTAGATATATAAGTATTAAGTTAATAAAATATAGTTAAAATTCGAAACGAATCAATTTTACAAAAAGGATGAGGAACGGCTCTAAAATTTAATGATATTGTTTGTTTGTATATTAAAAGAGATTGAAAAGAGGCATAGGGGCTATGCCGAGCTGGGGATGACAGATGGATGAATGAGACAACCAATTAAATTAAATAAAAAGAGCTTCATGTGTCCACAAGTAAAAGATTTAGTATTTCTACAAGAACAGTGGACGTGCCGGAGTGGTTATCGGGCATGACTAGAAATCATGTGGGCTTTGCCCGCGCAGGTTCGAATCCTGCCGTTCACGCAGGTTTTATTTTAAAGAACCCAAATCTTGTTTTTCTTTTTTTGGGGAAATGGGTATTAACGTACTCAAATCTCAGCATTTTAAAAAGCTATCAAACATTTTGAAAATAATGAAACAGCATAATTACAAAGATTTTTGTTTCCTTCATATACCATAGGACTACCTAAAAAATCGTGATGGGTTGTGAGCTTTTGTTGGGAACTTTTGGTTGGGCTTATTATGGAAATTGTGACGGGACCCAAGAATCATAATATTCGTATCTTCAATGACTTTGACTACTCATCCGACATGATGATCGCTACCTCCCCCACAATAGTGGGTTTGAATTGAACCTTGGTAAATGTTATGACATTGACATCTGTTAACGTGTGAGATTTTTAGGGTCGATGAATCCAAATCATTCTCATAACCAAAACTCCGGATACATTCGTAATATTCTAAATATTTAGATATCCGCACTCACTCGACAAAAGGCAAAGTTGGAGAAAGAGAAAGATGATAAGAAGAGCGGACAAGGGCGCAGCGAGGTGAAGACGAGAGACCAAGGAACAGAGGAGGGCAAGGGGATGAAAGACATAGAGGCCTTGGCCTAAGAGATGTACCTGAGGGGCGAGGCGAGGCGAGGATGAGACAAGGCCATGTGTCGGATGTGAAACGAGGCGTCGGAACGAAGGTGAAGCGAGACGTCAAAACGATGAAACCAAAGATAAGAATACTCGTTGGCCGAAACTACCGAATCTAATGGTCGAACTTTTGCCATCGCTGAACCCGAACTCTTTCTCTCGGTAGACAAGTTCGGTACCCGATTCGCGGGTCAAATAGAATATCAGACAACCATTTTTTTTTTCAATCCTACTCTTTGAGAAAGGAAACTAAATTTTTGGAGAAATGAAAAGTTTTTTTGGTTTGAATTGGATAAATCGAACCTAATCAAACCCACTCTTGTTTCAGCTCAAAACTGAAGCGAGTTATGCAATAGGCCTAAGCAAGAACTCGTATCAATTTATTGGAAAGAATTCCTAGGCTCGACCCACTAACTAGGACAAAACTCGAAAACATGAACGAAAAGAATAGCGTGTATAGACAAAAACACAGGCGATTACCGGGGAACACCAAGGTTTTGTACCTACCATTATGCCAACCTAAGCCGATCAGACGACCTAAGCAAGCCTAAGCATATGCTGTTATATGACCATCTTGTATTTTGATCAGACGAGTCGCAAGCAAGCAAACAAACCAACCCATTATTCAATGGATCAAGAAAGGATCCACTCATAAAGATGGCTTAGCGGCGGAGTAAGCTGACGCCGAACGATATGGTGCAGACCATAAGTCCGAGCAGGGCCAAGAAACCGTATCTCCTGTAGCAACAGAGAGGGCCAAGTTTATCAGAGGATGGAATGCTCGTCATTTTTTTAAATTGCGTATTTTTTTTTTAAAAAAAAATTTTAGTTTCCTCGTTTATTTCTTATTTGGTTTGGTTTCGTTTTGTACGATTTTAGAGAAATCATAACCATTTTATTTTGATATCAAATTCGGTTCGATTACGGTCACATACTATTCTGTTTGGACCGATTCACTTATTCGGTTATTAACCAAATTGGTCACTCCTAAATCAAACCATACAAGGAACAAAAGCCAAAGCCGAGGAAGAAGAGCATAACAACGGACGAATTTGACAGGTATTTGATGAAAATGAGATTGTAAAGATATTTCAAATCACCAACTCCATTCAAGTCTTCGCCACCAAAAAATCAAAGAGATCGAGAGAAACGGGAAGAATTAGCTCGCCTCAGATCCAATCGAACAAAAAAAATACAAAAAGAAAATAATATTAATCGGTTATTTCGGACATTGGTTTAGTTGGTTATCTGGGTTATAACTGATTCGGTTGTCTCTGCTAATGGTTTAGCAGACAACTCTGCGATCCTACATACCATATACATGTTTTGCTTTTTCATAGAGTAGGATATAGGTTTGTTACGGGTTTTTGATTCCTTTTCGATTCTTTTCTTCTTTCTTTGAATTGTATATATATGTGTAAGAGGTTGAGGTGAAATATACAGAAGAGAAAATTTCTATTTGCTGCTCCATACTCTGAAACACCAAAATGGTATCAGAGCTCTGAAGAAATTTCTTCTTCTTCCGTCCTTTTTCTACCTTTGCTCTCGTCTTTTCTTTCGCCTTTCTCCTCACCATGGCAGACGATTCACCAGCTCAATCTTCTGCAACAGCTTCTCTTCCTATAAACCCAGAAATCTCTGTTGCTCCAAACCCAGATCCCTATTCGAATCCCCTCTTTCTTCACCCAGCTGATTCTTTCAGCCTCACTTTGGTCTCGGAAAAACTAGTGGGTGAGGCCAACTATAATCTCTGGGCTCGCTCAGTTGTGAAAGCTCTCACCACGAAGAACAAACTAGGGTTTATTCATGGCGTGATCCCAAAGCCGGCTGACACTCATCCTGATTTTGGTGCCTGGGAAAGATGTAATGCCCTTGTTTCCACCTGGCTATCCAACTCGGTCTCTCCTGAGATCGGTAGTTTGGTGATGTACATTGATGATGCCCAAACTATCTGGGATAACTTGGAGACCAGATTCAAACAGAGCAATGTCTCCAAGATCTTCAACGTGGAGCAAAAGATTGATTCTCTTCGTCAAGGTGTGTTAGATCTGAATACCTTCTATACTAAACTGCACTCGCTATGGGAAGAGCTCAAAAACTACGAGCCTTACCCACTCTGTTCTTGCGGTGGATGCTCTTGCCATGCCAACACCAAGCTCATTGAGATCATCGAGCGCCGGAATGTTGTTAAGTTTTTAATGAAACTTAATGACTCATACACTCAAACCCGACGCCATATCCTCATGCTTGATCCATTGCCAAACCTTACAAAGGTCTATAACCTTATCTCCCAAGAAGAACACCATCGCCACTCCAATCTTCTCACCCCTGATTCTGCTGTTTTTCAAACCATC